GTGCGTGACCTGACGCAGAACATCAGCCGTGAGGTCTCGAATCTCATTGTGGCGAATACTGCGGAAGCCCCCAGTACTGCAGGACAAGGCATGGGTGACGTCAAAGTTTCCATGGCCACATCGCATCCTGATGGCAGGCGTACTCATGGTACTGGTGTCCACCCGTACCGGAGACAGAGGGCATCGCGAAACTCCGCCTTGGACAAACGAAATCCATGGATGGCTAGAGGGTGGCAAGTCAGCCAGCTAGAGGAAGACTTCATGGCTGCCAGGAGGTTGGTTCGCAAAGTCGTACGTACCTCTGCCTTCATGCGAAGAACCTGCGCCGCGGTACCATCAAGGGAGGAATTGGGCGATTAGTTTCTCCAACAGGGATGTCGTGATCTTGCGTGAATTGCGGTAGTTGCCGCCCATAGATGTCGGGTCAGTGATGCCAAGACCACCATGGCGACATGGGAAGGCCAGCAGTGCACGCTCCTGAGAAGACGGTGGCGCGTGGCCTGTCAGAGCTGGGATCAGGATGTCCCGAATCACGTCTTCAAGACGACCAAACAGCACAGGGGCATCCTCAAGGGTTCTTGAGAGAAAGGACCACCGCGGCTGTAGTCCCTGAATGAAGGCACTGTAGGCTGCCTGAGGTTGAGTCGATACAAAATCAGCCAGACGACGAATCTGCTGGACCCAGTCGGTGTCCTCAACCAGGGAGTCGTACTCAAACTACAGTCCATTCAGAAAAAAATGAACTTCTAGCTTTTGGCCATAAATGGGTCAAACGTTGAGTTTTTTTAGAATTTTTTTCTGCAATCCCATATGGAATCCTCTTCCAATTATGTTTCTGAAGTTTTTTTGTCCAAAAAGCAAGCCATAGCAAATTGGGAAAAACCATCAAAATCCAGGCCGTTTGACCCCGCCTGCAACAGTGCATTCTGCGGTTCGAACCCCAGTTCAGGCACCCTTGTAGCGACCTGACTCACTCAATTACGTCATTCTACAAACGCATGCGCAAGAAATAAAATCATTCTCTTTGGTCACAACTTCTTCGTTGTCCGGTTGGCCAAAGTAGCCGTCGTCTAGGGCCCGACGTAAAACCCTAAATTGGTGACCCCTGACGCTGCGCTCTTCGGAGTTTTGAGCATGCCATCCCTGAGCTCGGCCCGCCGCAGTTTCCTGCTCGCCTCAACTCTCGGGATCCCGTCAATCGCCGGCTGTTGACGTAAAACTTGAGCCTCACCACCACTGGATCCGCCTCGGAGCTGCTGTGGCCCCTGCCACCCTCCCCGGCCCACCTGGATACCCCGCTATCCTGCCACGGCATCGTCCAGTCGTCGTCGTCCGTATTCGTCCTGGCCTAAAGCTGGAAATTGGCCACCTCCACCCGTCGTACCAGCTCACTCACTGTGCACGCACGCAGGCACACGCCCGGCACCGGACCCCATGGAGCTGCGCTCGCCTCCATCTGTCCCCGCCTCAGTCGGCACGCCTCGCCCCAGTGCAGCGCTCCTGCTGGTACCCCGCCAAGCCTGCAACATGCAGCCGCCTCTGACATGATAATACTCCTCTGTCACGCGTACATTTCCTTTCTTTCCGCCTCTGACACGATAACACTCCTCTGTCACGCGTACATTTCCTCTTTTCTTTCTTTCTGCCTCTGACATGCTCTCCACCTCTGTCACGTTAACACACCTCTGACACGTTAACCCGCCTCTGTCATGCATCTCTCTCATTTCCGCTTTCTGCATTTTTGATTTTGTTTCGGCCTTTGTTGCCACGTCTCAAACAAATTTCATACACGCAGCGCTCTCACCTGTACATAATGTTGTATCATATTATTATATTTTTTGCCGTTCCGCCTTGTACATGCTGCGCTTTCCTTTCTCTTCTCTTTCTTGTTTCTTGTTTATCGTGCTTCGCTCCTCCCGACCTCACCACTGGCGGGGGAGTACTGTAGCGACCTGACTCACTCAATTACGTCATTCTACAAACGCATGCGCAAGAAATAAAATCATTCTCTTTGGTCACAACTTCTTCGTTGTCCGGTTGGCCAAAGTAGCCGTCGTCTAGGGCCCGACGTAAAACCCTAAACCCTTTTTGGACCCTTTTTCAAATTTCAAAGTTCGCAGCACTGCACTGTGTACGATGAAATCACGAAAAATCGCCAAATACGGGAGCTCGCCAGAGCCAGGACCCATCTTTTTATGAATGGACTGTAGGGAGGTGACGTCATGACACGGCACAGAAATCCGTGTCACAGGGGTTGACTCGCACCCGTGACCCCTCGTTGTTATTTTTGGAATAGTTCAGTCCAGTCCAGTCCGAAAGGTCATACTCGGATCGACTCGCCTTCTGTACTTCACCTCCAAGGGTGCAACGCAAGACCCGCAAAGTATGATTTTTCTCTGGGGAACGATTTTGCCATTGATCAAGTTTTTATAGGAGTGCTGAAGCATACTACCAAGAGTAGATAAACAAGAGTGTGCAACTCGCGGATGGGTTGGCCCACGGCGGAATTTTTTGTTGACGTAATCTTTTCGACGACGCACGCGCTGCGAGCCTTTTTGTTTGGAGAGGTTTCCCTCGTGCACTTGTACTTGGCCGGGCTTTACACTACATCGGTCGGTGCCCAGCACGTGCTCTTCTGTATATACCGTGCTCTCACACTGCTCTGCGGCCGGCAAAGTCCGCGTTTCTCTGAAAAAAGGTGACGTCAACAAAAAATTCCGCCGTGGGCGGGGGTATATCTGCAGATTGTGCAGGAGAGATCCTGAGTTGCACACTCTTGCTTGTTTATCTACTCTTGATACTACGATTGCTGAGACGTCCCGAGCACGCTTGTTCAGGTTCTCTATTTTTGACGAGCCGGTCCTACAGCCCCTACATTGTATCTAACGACGTAGGAGCTGACAATGTAAGAGGATTTCCCTGGAAATAATGATGATAGTGGTGTGACTGCTGCAGGAAAAATGCTGGCTGTTTATGACAGTATGACTAGCTGTACAATGTAGCTCTCTTGTATGGTACTTAACCCCTGCTATAAATGTGTTGTTTAGGAAGACTGGTGTATTGTGCAAGTCATAAAGAAGAAATGGGGCAGATACACGACTTACAATTTTCAAAAACCAGCTTCGTGTTATGTCTAATTTGTGTCAAAATCGTAATATTTAGACATGACAATATCATTGGCTGTACTTCTCTAACATGGTACATAACCCCTGCTATAAATGTGTTATTTAGGCAGACTGGACCATTGTGCAAGTCATAAAGAAGAAATGGGGCAGATATACGACTTACATTTTTCAAAACCTGGCTTCGTGTTATGTGTAATTTGTGTCAAAATTGTAGTATTTCAACATGACAATATCACTGGCTGTACTTCTCTTATATGGTACTTAACCCCTGCTAGAAATGTGTTGTTTAGGAAGACTGGTGTATTGTGCAAGTCATAAAGAAGAAATGGGGCAGATACACGACTTACAATTTTCAAAAACCAGCTTCGTGTTCTGTCTAATTTGTGTCAATTTTTAGTATTCGGATTAACCTAGGATACGACTCTGAACAGTTCTGAACAGTTACCGTAACACTACACGCTGTCTCATAACTGCTGCTGTTGCCATCACTGCTATCAAGTAGTTCGGACATGGCAGGAGGTAAACAAATTGCTGGTATTCTTTCAAAGAATATTGGCGAGTGATGGGCTGTAAACGAAATGTGCTGCCTCAATAATTTCAAAAACTAGACACCCATGCTGCACGCTTGGAGGTGAAGTACAGAAGGCGAGTCGATCCGAGTATGACCTTTCGGACTGGACTGGACTGAACTAGGGACCTTTCGCACCCCGCGTACGGATACGAAACGAATGCTGATTCGTCACCTGGGTTCGAGGATTCGTCAGAGTCCCTGCGGAGAACTCGTTTTCACGAATGGAAGCCTCTTCATTCGTGGCACGCTCCGAATCCGTCAGGTACACATTTATTTGGATAAATACACATGTTTTGCAAAGGTACACATTTTTCCCTTGATTCCATGATCCATGCACGTGTGCGTGTAAAAACCCGTGCGCCAAACTACCGGCGCCCGCGGCCGTATTCGTAGTTGCCATGCACATTTGCATGACGACTCGCGAAACCTGAAATCTGTTTTCAACGAAACGATTACGAGCCGAATCAAACTTTCGTTTCGCATTCGTTTCGTAGCAAATGCGAAAGGTCCCTACTATTCCAAAATAACAACGAGGGGTCACGGGTGCGAGTCAACCCCTGTGACACGGATTTCTGTGCCGTGTCACCTCCCTAGTTTGAGTACGACTCCCTGTTAGCAACGTACTCTTCCACAAAGGACGGTGTCGGTGTGCCAAGGGCTGCTCCTAGATGACGACAACCATCCTTCTCAACAGGGAGTATTGTACTACTCCCTGCACTGAAGTGTCGCTGAAACCGACACCTCAGGTCGGCGGAGATGCTCCAGTTTCACCACCACAGTTGCGTCTGCAACCACCTCTATCATGCAGTATTCTGTTCTCGAGGTTCGTGGTTTCTCTAAAAAAAAAAAGTGACGACGGGCAGTGGAATCCGTTCCTGCCCGTCGCCACTTGACGACGGGCAGTGGATCCAGTCAAGAGTTCACATGGTTCATGGGGGTTATGAACTCTTGATCCAGTTTCATCACCTTTGACTTGTTTGAGCAGGCAGGACCGCGCTTTCCAGCCCGCGCTGTTTGATCTGTCATTGGTCAACTCCAAGGCGACGATCACGTGACATACGGGAAGGCTGGACTCTTTCTACACGAGGCTACAGACTACAGTACAAGTCAGCTACCAGGGAGTCGTAAAATACCGGGAGGCGACACGAGATGCACAACCGCGTCGGATGATTGCCTCAGCTCGGGCACGAGTGCTGAGACCTCACGCGCTGCATGGCGAGGGACTTCCCATGAGGTCAAAGCGGCGCAGGTCATGCAAAAGGACGCGTTCGCTGTTTGGTCCAAAAAATTTGAAGAAAACTCAATAAAATTATCCTGCACACAACGAATCCAGTGTCAGCAGTTCGTTTTGTTTTTCTAAGTAATAATACTTTGTGCCTTGGCCTTCGAAGTAAAGGATGATGGAGCTTGACAGAGATGACTGCCAAAGTGATGAGTCCACCGTGGAAGATGTAGATGACGCCACGTATTCACTTGGTGACCTGAGTTGTGGGGATGTTCAGCTGTGGGCTACAGGTGAGATTCTTTCGTTTGCATGTTTTTGTCTCTTCCTTGTGGACACGAATGTATAATCTGTAGCATACCTAAGTGCCCGAACTGACCCGATAAATTAGGTGGTCGACACCATCCTTTTCATCCTAGTCTGCCCACGATGCATTGTCTGTTCACTGTGACAGGATATTTATTGAAGTCCTGAAAATTTACGTGTGTACCTAGTATGTATCATCACCGTAGATGATGTAAACCTCCATCCTCAAACCATACTTTGTCTATGTGCAGATCGATGTAAGAGTGGTAGTGCCATCATGGTGTACAGGCCTATGGAAGGTGCAGTGATCCATGGAATTTGCAAACTGCTGACAATGAGACAGGCGAGTGTTACTGAGGCGACGGAGTCATTCCTGCATGTTATTATGACACGGTTACACAAGGCATCAGGTACTGCAAATCTGCTACGCCAGGAAGTGTGCCAGCTGAAGGCATGCAAGGGTGCTGATATTTCGCAAGCATGGCAACAAATGCTGTCCGTCATCGCAACAGCTATTCCCGAAGTGAAAATCAATTGTGAAGGTCAGTGCGTTTTGCATGCATGTTGGAAAAAAATTGGCTTCTGACTAGGTATGCAGACTAGGTATGCAAACGCTGGCTTTTGAATACTAGTACAGTCTCTGCAACCACCAGTCCTTATATGTTGTCTTTTTCTTTTCTCTTCTTCAGATTTGGAAGTTACATCTGCAGTGCTAGCGAATCTGATAAGCTACCTGCATGCCACGGCTGCCGCTGCTATCAGGAAAGCGTCAATAGCACCATCCAAAGCTGCTGAAGCCATCCCCGAACCGGTGATTGACAATTTGTCTCACCTTGCTGAAAAGTACCATGGTGGTTGGTGCTTGGTGGCCGTGCGGCGTGAGCTGGAAGGAGCAAGGTGTCGCAACGACAACTTGCTGCAGCTTATACCTTTATTTGGCAAGGATGCCGTGACAAGCCTTCAGCCTTGTTTGGAGAATTCAGGTGGCCCGGCGTGGCTCGGAAGCTCTGTATAAGACACCATACGTCACAGATAAAAACAACTGAACCAGTGATATGTGAATTTTGCGCTTGTGTGTGTGTGTGTGTGTGCTTCTGTGATAAGTGGTATAAGCAGTCCACAGGGTATTCACCTTGAGTGCATTCGCCGATAGTGTGACTTTCGTCGCACAGAACCTTCTTCAGTTGGTCAGGTGACTCGGCGTGGCTCGGAAGCTCTGTATAAGACAAAATACGACACAGATAAAAACAACTGAACCAGTGATATGTGGATTTTGCGTTTGTGTGTGCACGAGCATGCATGTGTGTGTGTGTGTGTGTGTGTGTGTGTGTGTGTGTGTGTGTATGTGTGCTTGTGTGTATGCTACTGTGATAAGCGGTACAAGCAGTATACAGGATATTGACGGGTATTCACCTTGAGTGCATTCGCCGATAGTGTGACTTTCGTCGCAGAGAACTTTGCTCAGTCGGTGAGGCGACTCGGCCTTACGTTTCCTGAAGGCAATGTGTTCAGAACAGTTATGAACAGCTATGAACAGTTAAGAAATGACAAATATTGTTTGCAGTTCATGGGCCATATAGATGTGAAACACTTTGAATGCAGAAGAATGAGGATAGTGGCATCAAATACTGCATGGATTCTGTTTGATATGCTACTTTTTTTTCCCTTCCATGGAAAGGTGAGTACATCGTCGAACTTCATCTCGAAACTTCACACAAACCTAGAATGGAACTTGGACAACATGAAGGGGCCATGGGCATGGTGTGTTTAGTGGAGAACTATTCCGAAAACAGGGTGTCATTCGCATTGACTCAATTCAAATTTGAGTACATTTCGTGAATAACTTACCTTGACATTCCGTCGTCTCCAAAGCAGTGAACTTCCAAAAAAAATTAAAAGCCACGGCTCAACCTAAGGTAATGCGTGGTACGTATCAGAAGCAACCAGCTTTCGCTCTGGAGATCCAGAATAGCCTCGAAGCATATAGCAAAAACAATTGAGAAAAAGAAGATGACGACGACGTTTCAATCACGCTTCAAATTTCGCGGGTCGAGTGCGGCAATCCTCGGATCGTGAAATGTGTGGCGTGTCGCCTCCCGGTATTTTACGACTCCCTGTCAGCTACAGTATCAGGTAGACTGTAGCTACGAACCCGGTACCCGGACCTTGTACCCATGCGAGGAGTCATAAAATCCCCTGGTTGAACCATTTTTACCTGTACTGCTGCCGCCGTGCCGGTAGCTGTGTACAAAAATTTTGTAGCTGTTCGACATGTCGACAAGCTTCTTTGCCGGAAAATGTTGTAACGGTCACACGGCGGCATCGTCGTACGCGTCGTACGAATACAGAGTTCACTTTTCTTTGAACCCAGCTTGGCGGCAGGAAGCCGCGACAATTGAATTTCGAAAGAACTGGACAACACAGCCACAGCGCTCTCCAGTAATCTAGTTGAATTTATCCAGATTACCAGAAGGTTGCTTGGATTTTGTGAGCTTCATGCCACCTTCCGTCGAAGAGGCTGTGGCTTATTTCTAGTCCGTAACGACAGCCTTCTGTTTGTAATGACATACCAACTGTTCGTAATATCTTTCAACGTCATCGAATAGCCGTTAGGGTTGCGGAGTGCATCAACTTTCTTCTCTATCAAGTGCCGCTTTTTTCGTCCAGTATCGTAAGAGCGCGGCGGGGCTAGCTGGAGTGGACACTGACCAAGCTACACATATCTCTATCGTGAAAGAAGGCGCAGTTTGTAAGCCGAATCCCACCACCTTTGCCTAGGACTTTCCACCAGTTCGACCCGGCTCCAGTCCAGGTGAGCTTACTGCTTGCGTATGTCATGTTTGTAGGGGCATAGGAAAGGCGTATTCGAAAATCCCAGCCCACTGTATCTACATGGTCGTGTGCGCACACCTTTACTGATATCGGTCCGCAATAGCAGAGCTCAGTTTTAGTAACAAAGGTCCCGGCTGTGGGGCGAAGCAGTTGACCTACGTTGGTCTGTTGTGGCGTGTGTGTGTGTGGGGGGGGGGGGGGGGGGGGGTCGCTTGGAAGCTGGCCATAAAGCAGAATGCAATCTCTGTGAACTTACTTGACCAAGGACAATCAATCAGAAAAGCAAATGTGTGAACCATTCGCATGTCACCTGCAACCCGTGTCGTAAGCAACGTGAACCATAAAGACACTAAGGTTGCGTTCTTAAATTCTCTAGCTTCTAGGAGAAGAAGAAAAGAGAAGTCGAAGAAACTGGGATTCTTCAAGAACGGGTCTCGAAGAATTCGGAGATATTTTGCAGATGTCAAGCAAAATGAAGCGCCAAAGGGGCCGCGGTCTTGAGTGCCACGAATATAGTATGCGCTGTGCGTATACGAAAAGGGAAATGCGTACACTCATGATCAACACGTGGCTTTTAGCCTAGTTCGCATGCGCTGATCCCAAACCGCGGGAATCTCCAAGTTTCAACCCCCTCTGAAGCATGGAGAGCTTGGAGAGCTTTGGAGAGCCTCCTAAAAATCGGAGAGGATAAAAGAACAGCTCTCGAACTTTTCGGAGAGTCTCCAACTTTTCCGAGAGGATTTAAGAACGCACCCTAATTATCCACCTCGCGTTGGTGCGTGTCTTTTGCAAGAGCCCTGGATTTGAAATACGTGGCATGGCGCAAGGCGTGCAACACGCACATGCGCGCACACACACACGCACACACACACACACACACACACACACGCACACACACATATATACACACGCACACACACGCACACAAACACACACACGGATGCTACAAATACGTCTTCACTAGCAGTGGCACTTACGCCCAGTTGCTCGACCTGCGTTGCTTTTAACGGTTGTTACTTCGTCCTCTCTCCTGAACTGTCGTCGTATGCGGGTGAATTGCAACCAAAAGAATACTAGTACTCTAGGGGAGACGTGCAAATGGAACCAAAAAAATACAGCCCTGCTGCATTGGAAATCAACTGACCTAAGGGGCCGTCCGTAATTATCGATCTTTTTCACGGAGAGAAATTAAAAGTTTCGTCTATGGGTGGGTGGGTTGAGGAGAGTTTCGTTTTGAAAATTATTCATAGCTGAAACATCAATCCATTTTAGCTGTCAAGTCAATATATTTTTCGTTGAAGTGGTGGGTGGGCGGGGAAGGCTTATAACTACACTTTTTCGTTCCATGAAAATTATCGATAATGCCCCTTTCGGTGCTTGCATAATTCAGAGGTGGTAATGCTTTCTGACGTTTCTGTGTTCCTTTCTGTTGAAAGCCTGCTATGCAATTTTTTTAATCTTTGCCTGTGAGCTGTGATCATTGTAAAAAAAAAAAAGTTTTCTACCCGACAATCGCTCTAGTGAATGTAAAGTAAACTTCCGCAGAGTGTACTTCCAGATGTCGTAAAATTCGTACTTTCTAGCCTTCGCACTGTGTATCTCCTGAGGCAAACGGGCTTTTGTTGCATAACGTAGGCTCCTCTAACCATTTAGGAAACATCACTTCTAACTCCAAACTCGGAAACGGTCTCTGTAGTGTATATTTTTATTAATTTGAATCGCAGTAAAGAGACCGCGTTTGGAGTTGAGAAGTGAGGTTTCCTAAATGTGCAAGTGGCTGCGTTCGAGTAATAATAGTAGTAGTAAATACCATCCGTGTAAAGCAGTTCTGACCTGACTTGCGTTGCGTCGTAGTGTTGCAGGTTCAACTGTTGTGGTCATGTAGCTCATGTTGCGTAGCCACATGGTGTAAACCTATGCGACTATGACCGGCAGGCGCATGCACAGTAGCACTACGTTGCAGGTACGATGATCTTCCTGCCCCTGTGCACATGCATATGATATGTCACACTTGATTTGCCGCGTGTAAGAAATATCAGAAATAGGAATAGAAAGTCGTTTTCCAAGCACCCACGCTATAACCGATACCTACTGTACCATAGTGGTTTGTACTAAAGCCTGTCTCGGGTAGAAGCCTTTTTTTAATACAAGCCTGATTTTCATATGCACAAATACCTGATTGGAATAGAAGTCTGACTCGAATAAAAGCCTAGCACTGACATTGGCTCCTACAGGAATAGGCCTGGCTTTAACACGCGGCATTACGGTATGTGAGGCCTGTGTTGCATTGAGCCAACTTGCTTGGGTTTAGTACAGTAAAACCTGTCAAGGCGACCACTCGGCTAAGGTAACCACCGGTCTTAGAAGACCACAGAAACCAGGACCAAGGGGTGCTCTTTCCAGTCAAATTACCCTGGATACGGAGACCACCTGGTAACAGAGACCACCTTGTGAAGGTCCCTTGAGCGGCGGTCGTCTTAGACAGGTCTCACTGTAGTCTAAAGTGGAATGAGAGGCCTGTGTCCCTGGACCCATATGCACGTATTGAAAAAGGACTGGATGGTCACTCGTATAGGGGTGGAAACACGGCAAAGGCAATTGGCCCTAGTTGGGTGGAAATGCTTTATGATCATGCATGCTTTCTTTACTGGTGTGTGTGTGTGTGCATGTGCGTACACCTGTGTATGCGTGTGAATTTGAATGCGTGCTCTCGCCTGTGCTTGTGATTTTGTGTTCTCGCGCCAGCTACAGGTTGCATTCACCACGCCTGTCTGTATTCTCGTCTTGCGGCTGGAGAGAGCCCCGCACCACATGGCATTGCACCGCGGGCCCTCGTCGTCCTCCCAGCGGTCCTCTGATCGCATCTATTCATGGCCACTAACCGTCCTGGTTGTCGGCCTGATTGGCGCCTGTGCTGGTGACTATGACGACACTCCTCCCACCTATTCGTCTTCGTTTCCTGCTGCCGACTCGCTCCCTGGTGTTAAAGCGAATCCGGCAAATACCACAGAACCCGTTCCCGGCTGGCTGTGTAAGTCCGGTAGCTGCCCCGGGTGTGACGATGGGGCGAGAACACTGGCAAACAGAATTATTGCAGGGATGAAACAATCACTGAAAATTGGCCATCGATCGCCTATATGTGTTTTGCACTATTATTGCGGTTATATGAAGGTGTTCAATTACGGTGAAATAGTGACTTTTGAGTGGCTTGGCCTGCCTGCTTTACCAACATATTGGTGGCCGAAAAGCCTTCCCAGTACTGGATGAGCACAGTTTGCAGCCGATAACGAGTACATGACGAAGAATCGGCATGTTGTTTTCACCTAATGAAGTTTGCTGATTCGGATCTCCCAATTACTGTGACCGTTATCCATGCAACCCATCACATCTTTTACAAGTACTAGGAGGCGTTTTATAATTGACGTGCTTTCCGGCCATAGTAAAGTCATGGCTCTTGTGCCGTGCCTCTCCGCTTCTTAGCTGGTGCCTCGGTCAGGCCGTCAGCTCGTCGCACCTGCTAGCAATAGTGGCGGTGTCGTCTGCAACACGATAAAAATATCAACGTCCAATCCTTTCTTCTCATTTTTTCACACGTCGCTTTACGTTTTCTATCCCCCACTGGGTCCATTGTTATTGGTCTTTGCCTGTTCTGACTCGCACTATATGTATAAAATATACACCAGCAACAGCAAAATACGAACTGAACGCTAACTACGGTACTGTGGGATGCCGGCGAACGGAGCGCTGAAGAACGGAACGCTGCAGGCTATAGTTTCATCAGCGCACGGCATAGCAATGAATACGCGGTGACTCGACTGCGCATAGACTGTAGTACATGTACAAGGAACTGATAACGGTCTAGGCTACAGTCCATTCATTGCAAACTGGTACCCTGACTTTTTGCTGTCTCCCGCACATAGTTGTAGATGTCGTGAAAATAACAGTACACCCTGCATTGTGTGACCCGTGCAATTACTCCTTGCCACATTTTGAGGCCAGAAAAGTTCAAGAGCAGGGAAATAGAAATTCAGCCAGGCTTTACAAAATTAGGACAGGCATGCCATGGCAACATGTATGGAGAAGCAGATCCCAAAGAACGCAAACCCAGGTTTTTTGAGATTTAAAGTGGTTTTTGATCCTCAATTCGGTAGACTGCATGTACAATCAAGTTTTCTGGATGCAATGGTGTTTGCTTCTTTGCAGATCTTAAAACAATACACTGAGCGTCTCATCCTACGGTTTCGGCATACACTCCAGCTCACGTACACGTCCAGTTCGTGTAACTGTCCTGCAGGGGAGTTGTTCATGCCCCATTGGCTCTCTACCTTTCTCATTTTACCGGTATGTGCGTTTTGTCGTTTTAATCCCCATCCCTACACAGCCGTGGCCAGCTACTACGAGTGCAAGGTCGGGCGGAAGAGCATACACTTCTATCAGCCACGCCGCGATTATGTCGCGGAGAATACGGACGGCCCTGGCCAGGAGTACTGCGCCGATCTCAATCGCGGCTCCCACTACCGGCCCATGCACCTGGTGTACAAGGAGGACGCCGAGACCGACGACTGCATGGAGCAGGCGTTTGCCAAGTTTGCGCGCCACGCGCTCACCGGTGAACTGCTGCTCGGCAAGCATCGCATCGCCATGGCCAGCAGGTCAGCGCCCAACCGTCTGGCCGTGTTCATCTCACGCGTCTACCAGGCCAGCATCGTACCCAGCGACTACCGGCTTGATGGCCCGGTAGCCCGTCAGGAGTGGCAATCCCTGAGATTCATCTGCTCGTGTGAGTTCCGTAACCAATGTTCTCTCTCTGTTGTTGTTGTTGTTGTTGTTGTTGATGTTTTTTGTTTGTTTCACCAATTGGGCCATTTGGAGTGACAGTCCCTGAGGTTCATCTGCTCGTGTGAGTTCCGAAACCAATGGTGGTACTCTGTTCTATTGATTTTTTTGCAGCATATCGCGTATTAAATTTAATTATCCAGATTGCATACTGTAAAACTTTCGCGAGCAGGGTCGAATCGCGAAAGTTCGACACGCGAACATGAAATTTGTACTATTACGTACTATGCGATGCGTCGATGATCGATCGTTTTGCAACAAATCTGTACAGTACATGCGCATGCATCACTCACTGCACTGACTGCACATTCACAGCGCTGATCGATGCTTGTACGGCCGGCTATGTCCAACCAAAGCGCGCAGCTGTTGCAACGACGGGTTACGTACCAACACCAGTCTTGCAAGTAACAAACATTACTTGTCGTTGGAGTACGGCGACTTCGTCAGGCGAAATTACTGGTCAGTCGGCGACACGCATTTTTCACAAAATGTTGCGTTTCACCTGCTGGGAGAGTATGCGTGTACTCGAGACTCATCCTGAGCACGTTTTTTTCTTCTTTTTTTCAGCTCCAGTATAGCTGGATTTTTCATTGCAAAGCCGTCCTCGATTGTTGTGTTCGTTGTTCAAACGAAGTGGACATTCAATCATGAAGGCAGAGGGCATAGGAGCCTGATTGGAGTTTCTCGTGGCATAGGACGGCCACACAGAGACACTTTGGGATTTTCTGAATATAAAATACCGTACGCACGATGCTGAGATCAATTTGTGCGATATCAAATTGTTTGTGATCTACCACATCCGCAGAACGGGATCCAAACACAAGCTTACCGACGGTTAGGCTGCCGACCTGACTGGACAACTGATCCCTGGCTTCACCAGATGCCAGAAGTCGGACACCATGTCCTTTGCTGCGACGTCCATCTCCAAAAAGAACTCCATCTTCGCCGTGAAAAGGCTTGAAATACTCAATATTCAACCGAGATTCGCGGTCTCACCCTTCCTCGGATCGAATCATTTTTTGTTGTAGCAGTTGCAGGGCAGATCCCCGCCACTACTTCAACAGAAGATGGCTCCAAAGCATGCCTGGAACAGGCCATATCGAGGTTGCAAGCCACCCCTCTCAGCACTTTTTTTTGAAGAAATTCGAAATTTCAATGGTGGAAGATATACTATGAAGAGAATTTCAAAAAGTATGTTTCGCGGAGCGATCGCTCAACCTACGTCATTCAAACTTTGCAGAATGGTTCAGACGTACATGCTAGGCATGGAACCACAGAAGATGATATCATAGATGACACACAGAGTCACACACACAGCAGATTCGTGTGCACAGATACTAAATTAGTGGACGTCGTCATCTTCTTCCCGCTGATCTCAAATGTACTATGACGTGCTATTTCGCCTGACGGAACCACACAAAAATAAAACGATCGACTGGAGAATTTCTCAGTGTTGTGGAGAGTGTTGTTGAACTTCTTGGAGCGTTTGGCCAGCTTGCTGTTGCGTAGATTTTAGTGTTGTACTGCTCGAAGAAGTCTTCTGAATTTTATCGCGATGAGTATCGCAGTGGCTCAGCAGTTCGAAGAGAAAGTCTTCCGATGATCCCTCTTCGAACGTGCCATCCTTTCTCCCAGTACTAGTACTTACCTTATGGTTCTCTTTGATGCCTTGATTCCTTCTTACATTCCTTGATTCCTTCTTTCCTTCTTTGATTTCTTCTCTCATTCTTCATGCACTCTGCGCCCAGCACTCCGAGGCTTCGTAAAGTAAAATTCTTTGATTTTCGGTGGAAAGTAAAAATCGCTAAAATTAATCGCCGCTAACTGGTCCAGTTTGCCAAAACGCTAAATTTAGCCGCCGCGAAAGTTTGTCGTTTTACAGTACTTGTAAGACCGAGGGACTGAAAAGGGAAAAGTCTAAAGAAATTAAATATATTGACTGCCACTAGTGTGTGTTTGTGTGTGTGTGTGTGTGTGCGCGCGTGTGTGCATGTGTGTGTGTGTGTGTGTGTGTATGTGCATGTTTGTGTGCGGGTGTGCGTATGTATATGTGTGTATGTATGTGCATGTATGTGTGCGGGTGTGTATGTATGTATGTGTGTGTGCACGTGCGTGCATGTGTGTATGCATACCCATGCGGGTGTTCGAGTACAGACACCAGTGCGAGCTGCACACTGGAAGGAAACAGTTACACTCACTCGATGTTCGTTGCGCCGCCTAACACTCCCAACTGCCGGGCGGACGCCGAACGGATGTCCGTGCTAATGTTTGTAAATGACCCGGTCTGTGTACTGGCTCTACGAGAGCTCTACCCACCGGCCACCCCGTCCCTCAGTGAGTGGGCGATCAACCCACCGGTGCGCGTGGACTATAAAGGGTACTGCTTAGCCATCGTCGGCACAGCCACCGAAGGTGATAATCGGCATTATGTGAAGTCCACACCGTACAGTTGCACCAATTCAATCTTCCCTACTCTCCCTACACTCTGCGCCTGTGAGTAACACATCTTCCGTATTTCCCCGAATATAAGTCGCACGTTTTTACACTAACATTCAGGGGTTAGGGGGGGGGGGGACTTACTATCGAGCATGACTTACTACGTACTGACGTGAATATACCCAAACTGGCTCAAACCTGAAAATGGGTTGCGACTTGCAATCAAGTGCGATGTATAATGCGGTACGTACTTGTTCCCTTCCCCATCACGTGCGCTTAACCCACCTCGCTGTTTTCTGCATACGGTAAAGTGAGAGACTTTCGCTGATTTTTGCGACCACCCATTCGCGAATAGAAATAGAAATCGCCGCGAACTGCTCTGTAAATGGATTGTAGACCCCACACATTTTCTATATACAATTTCTACCAGGGTTCGCAGCGAAGTTTGGAAGTCTGGAAAAAGTTTGGATTTTATAATTCAATTTTCCAGGTCTGGAAAAAGTTTTGAAAAGGCGCTCCTTTTGGAATAGTTTGGAAAAAGTTTTGAATTTCGAGTTTTTGGCCGTGGATGTGCTGCACTCCTGCAGTGCAAGTGGCCGTTTTTGACTACCGCGATAGAAGACGTGCTGGCGATGAATTCCCTTGCTATTTTCGGGGGCTCTAGCTGCTGAAGGCGATGCCATTGCAATGTACCTTGGTGAATTTGTTGATGGTAGTGGTACTAGGGAGGATTTTACTACTCCCTGGTTGTACTCGTAGTGGAGAAGACAGTCATGCAGAAGAGATTCATAATTTATTTTTCCTGCACGAGTGGGTTTGGAAATTCTTGAAATTGGTTTGGAAAAAGTTTGGAATTTTGTGTGCTTGGTTGGCTGCGAACCCTGTAATCTACATGCCAGTAGGTGAACGCAGTGGGACTTCTAATAAATCGGACATGTCCATTTCGAGTTTCGAATTATCAGATAGTGTTATGTGAAAATGGTATTGATTAGGCCATGTTCGAATTCTCAGGATTCCACCTGTATACACGGTGATTCAACTGAGCATAGGCAGCCGTACCTGAAGAGTATAGAATGATGCAAAAATGCCACTGGTGCCAAACAATATGAACAATTGAGATTTTCAGCTCAGCGCAATCGAAAGGTCTAGGGTCATCTTCAGGCAAAAATCTGACCAGGACCACATCAAATTGATGGTGACCAAATACGAAATCAGATACAAGCCGCACATAAAGTGAATCACATCCGAACAGTGACAAACATTTGATATGCTGCGTTTTGCATCCAGACTCTTCATAGGTTCTGTACAGTCCACTCATTGGAAACTGGCACCCTAACTTTTTGGTGTCTCCCGCACATAGTTGTTGATATCGTGAAAACAACATTACACCCTGCATTGTGTGACCCGTGCAATTCCTCCTTGCCACATTTGAGACCAGAAAAGTCCAAGAACAGGGAAATAGAAATTCAGCCAGGTTTTACAAATTAGCACAGGTATGCCATGGCAAATTGTAAGGAGAAGCAGATCCCAAACCCAGATTATTGAGATTTAAAGTGGGTTTTTGATCCTCAATTCGGCCCAAGTCAGACTTTCAAAGGCCAGCGGGACTGTTCCGATGAATGGACTGTAGGAATGGCCTAGGAAGTGAAGTGATCCTGACCTCCCCTCACTTATTCTTCGGCACCGAGGAGTACGGTATTGCGGGTTGATAGCGTGCTCTGAATGGAGTTGAAATGTAGCGTTGCGGGCGTGCAACGGCCCAGCGCGAATCTACATTCGCTGTTCGAATGCTCTCTAACTTTGCTTTTCCATCCGCACTCTTCATCTGTGTCGTTGCTTAGCGCGATCAAAGAAAGTTAATGGGCGTCCAGGAAATACGTCAATGATCCACCGCAGCGCGTTGAGTGGCGCTCCACAATTGTTCATGGGTGTAGTGACCAAAACAGGAATTGCGGACTATCTCTGGTCTCCTCCGTTAAATTATGGCGCAACTGACGCCATACTTGTGGACTGTGTATTTACACTGGATACTACATATCAAGGTAACAGGAGTTTCCTGAAGGCACCCGAGCGAAGAACTGCTGATCTCAAAATTCCCTATTCAAAGGTTGGTGGATAATTTCAAACCCGGTCTTCAATCTGTCTGCTCGTCCTACTTTTCCGTTGCCTCCTGCTGGTCTCTCTCTCTCTCTCTCTCTCTCTCTCTCTCTCTCTCTCTCTCTCTCTCTCTCTCTCTCTCTCTCTCTCTCTCTCTCTCTCTCTCTCTTGCCCTCAGCATGTACACACATGTGCGCACTGTTATCGACAAGCGATGCTGCTATTAAGGAGGCTCCGAACAGTTGCGCGGCGCAGTGTAAAAAGGGCACCTTGAGAATCTGTTTTTTGCCGCGAGATTCAAAAAATATCGTGTTCCATGCAGAAACAAGCTGTTGTTCAGAAAGAAGTGTTTTGATTCTCTGTGGGCCTAAAGTGCCTGGTGACACCATCAAAACTGTCTATTATCGGTTTCCTTTGGGCTCAAGGATCACAGAAAGCCACAAAAATCAATATGTCCATGGACAAAATGTTGCAGGCTGAACCATTTCACAATTCAGCTCCCGATGGAAATTTCGGTACCCGTAATTTCGAGAAAGTGGCTCACCAAGGGCAAAACCAAGACACAGTCTATCTTGTGTACCCAAGATACCTCCAAATGTGGTTCTTAAACACATGATGAAGAAAATACTTAGTATCCTCCTTCCAGGAGGCTTCTTTGGGTCAAAAACCAATTTTTTACCATTTTTTTGCCGACAATAAAGAATTTGTACACTCACTAAATCCACCAGAATACCTCTTATATGCCTGGTGACCCTACCTAAAAACTATACCAAATTGAAGAGACATCACTCCACCATTCTATGCATAAAAACAGGGTGTCCATGGACCTTTAAGTTTTACTTCTTTAAGTGGGAGCCTCCTTAAAGGAGAGAGTTCCGTGATCAGTTTGCACATGTTTGACTTTGTGTACTTGTTTGAAACCTGTCTGTTTATCTCCCTATGAACTACAGTGGATATACCGAAGTGCTATTGAGAATTTATCAAGCCCACAAGTGTCAGTACCCTCTTTTACTAGCGGCTTTCAGGAATGCCACCTCCGCACACGTTATGCAGACGGCACGTGGGGGGAAACGAGCAACAAATATAAAATCGGGCTTGGACCTAGTAAGTAAAAACGATTTTCTCGAAGCCCACGCGCGGCTCGACATTTCAGGTGTAACCTATGCATGAGCTGACCTGGCTGCATGCATGTTACATTGTACTTTGAGCAGAGTTTGCGTTTGAAACATTTTGTTGTTGTTCCGTGATACTGGAGTTTTAACTCCGCAAAACGTCCATTCGAACGCAAGCGAGCTGCTCTATCTGTTTTTTTACTGTCGTCTGAGCAATCTTGGCCACTGAGTGTTTCACGCAAGTACAGCTGTGCTCCTTGAAATCCGACACGAAAGTGCACATCTAGCGCCGTCAACTTGCACTCGCCCCCGGCCCTGGAAGTGGTACGAATGCGGCTGAACGTACACGTGTATGTGTACATGCTCCTCGCCATTGACAACATGCGACAAAACTGCACCAATGCCGTACGGTGAGGCATCACAGCTCACAATAATTGGTAGTTTAGGGTCGTAATGCACACGGACGGGTAAGTCAACGAGCAGCTTCTTGCTACTCTCGAATGCGGACTGTTGACGATGAGACCAGTCCCAACTCTTGGAAGACAATAGTTCATACAACAGAGCAAGTACTGAGCTCAGGTTAGGAATGAACTTGTGGTAGTAGTTGATTAGTCCGAGGTAGCTTCTCAGCTCTTGGACGTTGGTAGGAGCCCTTGCATCAATGACATCTTGGTTGGCTTAATTCCAGATGCATCGATGATGTGACCTAAGAATGTCACAGAGGACCTTGCAAATGAACATTTGGTGCGGTTCAAACGCAATCCAGCTGCGTTGAGACGTTCCAGAACCATGTTCAGATGTTTATCGTGTTCTTCATGAGTTGTGCCAGAGACAAGGATGTCATCCAAGTAGATCACGACCATTGGTATTCCAGCTAGCAATTGGTCGAGCGTACGTTGCAATATGCTCGGGGCCGAAGACACACCAAAAGGCAGCAAATTGAAGAGAAAAAAACTGTGGTAGATTTGGTGTCACATGTTTGTTTCGTCTTGGTCGCTGTGGCACGCGTCATTGGTTGGTGGTGTTGTGCGCATGCGCGAAACTGTGTGAGCTAGTCTTTGGTCTGTCGTCTTGTCTTTTCCGTGTTCTTGTTTATTCGTCAATAAAAAGAGTGTAAAAAGGCAGTCCAGTGGTGGCGGTTGAGCTGAGGCAGGATGGAGAAGTAATGTTAGACTCACGACTACAACAAAACGAAGCGAACGCGCATGCCAGTCATTCAAAGCTGGAAATAACTAAGAATAGACAATCTCACTATCTACTGCATAAAAGGGGCTGTGAACGGAGGAAAGGGAAGGAAGAAAGAAAAACAAAAACATCAGCACAAAAATACCGTAAAATGGTCTCTACGTGTCCTTTGGACACAATAGGGAGGTTTAGTTCCCACGTAACGGAAACGCGTATGTCGGTGATCCACGTAAAGTGCATGAAGGGTACCCACGTTGCAATGTTGTGTTTAGTCATACGGAACAAACAAAAGCATGAAGCGAAAGGCCCAAACCTGGTCAAAGACGAAGCTACCCGGGCCTAAGAAGCTCATCCAATATTTTGATTTCGTGCTTCGAAAACCTCTTCAGCTGAGCACCCTCACAGCTTGCACAATGCGCTCGATTCTGATTTTCACCCACGTTCTGGCGGAACGTGGGTGAGCCTCCATATACGGTATGTCGTGAATCAGAAAGCGTCTGTTCGTAGGTCACTGAGTATCACGTGGTACACACACGTAAAGTACCCACGGATTACGTGGGACTTAACCTCCCTATTGTCCCATAGCAGCAGCAGTTATCCATAAGCAGCTCTGGCCTTCTCTGTAAGGGTCATCTGATGGCCAGAACGGGGTTTCGTGCCATCATGAAACCGCTTGGGGAAACTCACTGGCTGGTGGACTGGTCTGACCCCCGCAGACATCGCTAGGAGAAACGGCCGTTTGGTTTCACTTAGCAAGTCAACTTAATTCAGTCGTACACATTATGATACCAGCTATGTAGACAGTATTGTCATGGACTGTGAGCTCTCACGTAGTACCCACAAGTGAACTGAGGGTGCGTTCCTATTTTCTTGCTTCTCGGAGAAATTTCTCCTGGAAGTCGAAGAAACTGGGATTATGTAGGAACTTGTCTCGAAAAATCCGTAGATTTTTGCATTATGGGAAGCGCCGAATATGAGAAAAGTTGCCCTGGAAAAAGCCAGCGGCCATGTTTCATGCATCGGTGTCATTGTTCACGTGTATCTGCCTTTGGATCACCTCTGCAGCCTTTACACACGGAAGGCACACAGGAGTTCAACAGAGTATGTCGCAACTCCCAGTTTCTTGCACAATACAGCACTGTAGAGTGGAAAACTTTAGCTAGAGATTAAATTTCGCTATTTTCGCGACCACCTCACATTCGCGAATATAAATCACCGCAAACTGCTCTTTACACTGATTGTTGACAATAAAAGATCCAAATGAAGAGATACTATCGCCACAGCTTCTCATTCAAGAAAACGCAAACTTTGCACACCGTGAATAGCAGTACAGTTCGCATGTAGCCCACGGGTGAGATCATCCATGGGGCTAGCGCGTCTGTGGGTACAAGAGTTAGAGAAATATAAACGAGAGTACATGTACACCCTCTCCATTCTGTTCTTGCATTGAACATCACCTCGATTCTACCATGAGCCTAGGCACGAGGAATATAATTACTGTGTGTCCGCATCTTTAAAGCCATGGAGGTATATTAAAATTGTAAAGCCAGTCTCACAGAGGCTGTGCGCCTTAACCTGCAATAGTGCTCAAATGCCCGGAATGGGCAGAGCGTAGTACGCAAGAGGTACACAAAAGGAAATAAATAGGGCTGTTTCTTGTTGTTACTTAGAGTTTCATGGCAAGAACCAATCATCAGACAACATATTAGAAAAAAAGCGCAGGTATATGAAGGCAAGCAGAGGAGATAGAATAATTCAGTGCAGATAATATGATAATCAACACCTCCCAGAGGCAGTACGCTCTGACGTGCCAGAATCAACATCTCAAGGTGCTGGATGCACATGGTGAAACATGAACACGCACACTCATCCACGCACACATCGTCTCACACTAATCCACACACACACATCGTCTCATACTCATACCAAGAGTAGATAAACAAGAGTGTGCAACTCGCGGATGGGTTGGCCCACGGCGGAATTTTTTGTTGACGTAATCTTTTCGACGACGCACGCGCTGCGAGCCTTTTGGAGAGTTTTCCCTCGTGCACTTGGCTGGGCTTTACACTACAAGGTCGGTGCCCAGCACGTGCTCTCACACTGCTCTGCGGCAAAGCCGCGTTTCTCTGAAAAAGGTGACGTAAACAAAAAATTCCGCCGTGGGCGGGGGTATCTGCAGATTGTGCAGGAGAGATCCGGAGTTGCACACTCTTGTTTATCTACTCTTGCTCATACTCATCCACACACACACACACACCGTCTCACACTAATCTACACACACACACACACACCGTCTCACACACTCCACACTCCCGCATTATCGCACCTAAACACACGCACACGCACACACACACACACACACACACACACACACACACACACACACACACACACACACACACTGGATTCTGATGGTTCTGTGGTATTCATCTTGAGAAAGAAATGACATCCGGCTGCTTGACAACACTCTATATACTTCCTTTGTGCAATTATGTGTACTAGTGCCCCAATTTGCTGTGATGAGCCCTGTCCGCTGGCTAATGGGGTACCTTTGTCTATCATTTTGTGCATGTATAGGTATGCGGTGCGGCGTGCGTGCATGGGGCTGACTTTGTGTCTGTTGCTGAACTTGTGTTTCAGGACTTCACGTCTACATATCCGCTCAATCACCTGGTCAGTTGGTCAGACTTGACCTGCGCCCTTGTGAATATAATCAGTTGTATGACCAATCCAGCTCTTTCAGTCAACTCTATCAAACATACTATAATCAGATGAATCGCAAATACGATCCGGGTTTCTTTAGGTATCCCGGAACGAACTATCCAAGGTTCAATGATCTTGCCAAGTTCACGAATTATTTTTTTGGTAAAGATTTGTTCCGTGTGTCAGCGCCACTCAAGGAGCCTCTGCCGCGCGGCGGCGCCATCTACGACTTTGGACAGTATCTAACTCCTGGCTTTCAGCGAATTCCACTGCTCCTGGGCAACGATATGACTTCATATCATATTCGATGGCTTTCTTTCGACCCAGCTCAGGTTAACGGGAGTGTGATCCGTTGTGCAACACAAGACACCATCGTCAACGAGCAGGTTGTGATGGAGAAGCGTAAGTAGGGCAGGGTTTGTTTGTTTAGCTTTATTTTACTTCACCAGAAGCATAGGCAAAATCTGCCTTCTCACTGGGCGTATTGCCGCAGTTCTCGCAAAAATGATGAAGATAGTGATAATGATAAGAAAAGGAGGAAGAGGAAAATACAAAGCACAAAGAGAAGACGGAAACAAATCAATGAGTGAGTACTACAAGTAACGGATTTGATGAGGTGTTTACTTTTTGAGCTGCTTTTCGTACTCACTATTCAGGAGAGGGCTTCATTTTTCACTGACTTTTAGAAACTGGGGGGCACTATTTGAGATAGGGCGCTATTCAAGAGAGGGCGAGTACGGTATGTCCCGAATATTAGTTGACTTGCAGTACTTGCCCAGTTGTAGAACACGCATGGAATCGGCTGGTCTGTAGATCTACTTGACACGGGTGCAGTCGTTCAGTGCAGCCAGTGAACATGGGATCAGAAGCGGTTTCAAGGCTGAGTCGCGTCCTTACATTGTACCAGGATATTCTTTACTGTACTGGCCATGGGAAAAAATCAAAAAATCATGGGGAGAAATTGCTTTTTAGAAAAGATTTTGCGCGAGGACGGATTGATTTGATGCCCACAGAGAATCCACAGGCATGTACAATACTCGCCAAAACATCCGGATGATGCTGCACATGGTAGTCGACTACGATGCATCCAGCATTGGCCGTATTTTTCGCCATATTTGAATTCTTTTTCTCACGATAGCACCCTCGCCAATAAGAGATAAGTTTACGAGAAGGTGAGATGCTGTGGGTTGGCCTGTGGGTTATGGAGTTGGAAAGTAATTTACGTCATTTTGAATTTTACAAGTATGGGAGAGGGTGAGCGCTGCAGGAGCAAATTGAGTTAAGGAGGCTCCAACCCTTTGGGGGTGATTTTTTTCTTCATAAACCCCCTCCTTTTTGTGGATGAGTGTGCTCTATATCATCCCATGTTACTCCACAAAAAAATTCAGGGTGTGTTTCCGTGGAGATAAGGCTGTTTGAGGTGTATTTCTAGGGGTGGGTGTATTTATCGATTTCGGCCTAAATTTGCTTGTTTTGCGGTCATATTTCAGATTTACCAGTTGTCTGGCTTCTCTTTGTGATTGCAAGTCCTTTCACACATCACAGTGGAGCATTTGAGCAAGAAAATCTGGCAATCAGCATGGACTACTCAGAAAAATAGTAATTTTGGTACAAAAATGAACTTCGCAGAAATGCCCGTCCGCAAAGTACAATTGGGTGCACAGCTTCATATTTTCTTCATGGACATGCCCTTTTTATTTTATTTTTGGGATCCTCATACTTCATAGAAACTAGAAATATATAATTTTAGGGGGGTTACCGTGCATTTTAGACCTCCACAAATAAAAATAGGACAGAAAATTGGCCGATTTTCCACCATTCTTGGAATTGCTATTTTTCAGGTAAGGTGATCATTCTAAGCATTCCTTGTGGTATTACTCCAATTTTTTGTGTCAAAAGCATTGAATGGTCCCCCAGATTGTTATAGTATACATGGAGACTAGATGAGGCCATGGTTCCTGGGCTTTTTAGCCCTTGATCTGGATATCGGCATGATCCATGCACAACGTTATTCATGATCCAGGCCGAGGCCTACTGACCCTGAAAGCAGTTCAGACCAGCTTTGCATCACAATTGCAATATTTCACTCCTAGTATTTCTCATAAAACAACAGGCAAAGAGCTTGAGGAGGATAACAATTATTATATTCTGGGGGGGGGGGGGGGGCAGTTTCATGTTTGTAGTACATGTACAATGTAGATGCAGCTTCAACTCAATATTGGCAATGAACGACTGCTAGTAATTGTAGCACCCATTAGGTATAATCATAACACTATTCCCAATAACATGGAACAACCACAAGTGTATGTGGGTGCATGCGCATTGCACACATTGATACATACTAGTACATGTACGCTTCCATGCACATGCTCACAAACAAGTACCCCTTGCACACACAAAAACATGTACGTCATATACGCGCACCCGCAATAGCATACACCCACATGCAAAATGCATGCTCTTGAGCTTAGTTACCATATTCTGCTGTCCATGCACTTGTGCACATGTGCGCGCGCGCACACACACAACATGCACTGCGCGCGCGCACACACACACACACAACATGTAGGCTCACACGCGTGCCTGCGTATGTGCATGCACATAGTGCTTATGGGTACAGGTGCATGCATTCATCATAATAGAACTGGTGCGAGTAGTGTAGGAATATTTTCAAATCACTGGTGCTGTACAACACAACATTTAGAAAATACTTCACACTCTGACAATAAATAGTACTGCAAAACAACATACTCAATTTTCAGTGCTGCATTTCATTCAAGTGGACGCAGGTGATGACTTACTGCTGGCGACGTTGGCAGCTGACAGGTCACAGCTTTCGTAAATAGCCCAAGTCACTGAGCAGTAGCTCACCAACGATTTACCACTCACTCAAGACTGCAATGTTTTCAGCGTAGCAATATATTTCGCCACTTGAAGTGGATTAGAAGTGGATCCACATACCAGAGTCTGTGCACCCACTTCAATCTCTCTCTCCAAAACGCGCTTACAGTAGGTTTTGGTCCCTGGTGTTACACAGCCATCGAGACGCTTGGCTCCGTTCTCCTTGGTCATTTTTTCGTCAAGCAAAATTATTCAGGATCTCGAGAAATCTTGTTTGAAAGCAGGTCGGGAGGTAACGTCACGAATGCTAGCAGGGAGGGCATTATCTGTCCACTCGTATTGTGCCTGCAAACAGGGACGTGCAAACTCCAAATTGGTGTGCAGAGGGATAGGTCCATGAGCCTCACTTGTGTTCATTGACTAGCAACATATGCAGAATCCAGGCTCTCACGTCCTCTTCCCCCCCCCCCCCCACACACACACAGACGCATACACAGAACATGGAGACTCCCTCGATTTAGGCTATTAAAGGCCTGCGGAGAGGCCATCAGTACAAAAACAAGAAGGTGTGAAATGTATTTTTTTGCAATTCCAATTTTCTCTCTCTCCTGTTCTGGTGTTCCTACAGTCAACGTCTTCGAGGCCCAGATTGGGGAGCCATTGGTGGTTCCGATGATATGTCATCGAAACTTTTGGCAAAAAGACACTCACTGGTTCAGCCACCAATCCAAGACGGTTGTCCCCCAGAACAATGGTCGCATTCGCTTCGACGTTGCGAATTACATTGACCAGCTTCTTCATGTGGATAACTTCCAGGTAGCAGATAATAACTCCGTCTACTTCTGTTGCCATAAAGACAGCTGTTCCTCAGCGCCGGCCGATGTCGGAAAATTCGATTCCTCAAACTTCCTGTTTCAGGTCACCTTGCGGACTCGAGGTATGTTACGGGGTTGTGCCACAAGTCTCTTGGCAGGGGAGGGCATGGGGGGGGGGGGGGTAGTAGGTGCAGGTTAATGAGTTCGATCCTATTTTGCTGTTCATTCCGACGCACATACGTATGTGCCAATCGAACTGTCATGAAGCGTTCTCCAATACTCAGAATAGATATATTGTGGTATTCGTCCTAGATGACACCCAGGCTCTGAGCCCGTACTATTATGGGATCCTAGATGACGCCCAGGCTCTGAGCCCGTACTATTATGGGATCCTAGATGACACCCAGGCTCTGAGCCCGTACTATTATGGGATCCTAGATGGCACCCAGGCTCTGAGCCCGTACTATTATGGGATCCTAGATGACACCCAGGCTCTGAGCCCGCACTATTACGGGATGAGTGCATTGATGAGAATTTGTAGGATGCATGTATGTTCAAATGATCGTCACTGTTACTGTTGCCACTGTCCTGTCCCTGTTGTCACGTGTGCTTGTTCATGCCATTGTTATACAGTTCAGCACGATGTTGTAGCGCAAATGCAGCTTGGCGACGGAATCTCATCTCTTTTTGTCATAGTCCCCGTTCACACCTTGTTTTCAGGCACATTGCTTCTTTTTGTGTGTGTGTGTGTGTGTGTGTGTGTGTGTGTGTGTGTGTGTGTCTTTTGTTACACGTGTGTGAGTGTTGGTGTGATTCGGAGTGTGAGCTTGTGTGAGCGTGAGTATGAGTGTGTGTCTCAGTGTTTTGGCATGTGCGTGGTTATGTGTGTGCCTGTGCCGAAAGGATGGTGCAATTTTATCACGTATGGTGTAGTTTCGTTCCACTTTGTGTTGCCTGATATCGGTCCACCTCACTTGTTTTTCTCCTCAATCCTGATGATGGCTCCTGGCCGAACATTTGATGAGATATAATCAGACATAATTTGAGATAATTTGCAGCGAAGAGACCACTTGATTTGAAGATGGTGTGTAAGGTTTTTCATCTTATACTACAGTCCATTTCGAAACTATAGACGCGTACCTAGGCAAAAACCGTTATGCCAGCATCTATACCACATAAAATCTGTGATCACTTTGTGCATAAATTTTTCCAAATTGGGCGTCTGTTATCCAATCCTTTAGAAACTATATGAGAGTAATTGTGGAGCGATCCTGAGCAATATTCCGAAAACTATTCTCAAATTTGAAATATTTCAAAAACCCTACGCGTCTATAGTTTTGAAATGCACTGTAAGATGGTCAAACTTTGACTATCTTAGTATAAGTCGTAATGAATTGTGAAAAATAGGGTAGATGGCCGTGATGCCGAGACCTCATGTCGGCAGAGCCATCAATGTCCCACCATCACTGCTGCATCTCGGTGCAGCCCCTTCTCAGTAGTTGTCACGTTTGTCCTTGTCTCAGTACCATTGTCTTTCTGTATTATTTATGAGTTGGGTATGTGAACATAGTAAAACAAAAACAAAAAAAAACAAAAAAATGTGTGTATTTTGGTGACAAAAAATCCCGCTACGGCTTATACTCAGGAAAAAAATGATTGCAATAACGGAACCTTGCTTCCGCTGTTGATTTGCGGAACCTTGCTTCCGCTGTTGATCTGTGGAACCTTGCTTCCGCTGTTGATCTGCGGAACCTTGCTTCCGCTGTTGATCTGCGGAACCTTGCTTTCGCTGTTGATCTGCGGAACCTTGCTTCCGCTGTTGCTCTTCGGAACCTTGCTTCCGCTGTTGATCTGTGGATTCTATTTCGTCGTCAGGTCTATCCGTCAGTGTGTACATGCAGGAACACATGACTCTGTGCACTGGGTTGTACTTTTTGTTTGTTGTCCGGGGGCAGCTGGTGTGCTTCGTGTCGGGCAAGGTCTGACTGTACATGTACACAAATCACTCTCTGTGCTGTGTGTTTTGTGTGTGCGTGTGTGTGTGTCTGTGTGCATGCGTGCGCGTGTGTGTACGTATGCATGCGTATGCGTGCTCAGCGCCACCCGTGACACCCAGTATCCTGGGCGTGGCTAGCTATCCGTCGGCGACTAGCGTGGTCCTATCGGGCACATCACAAGTGGATGGCGATCGCGGACGATACTTTCTCTTATCCTGCACTGGTTACACGTTTTCTGGGCCCGATAGTAAGCCAGTACCGTTCTCTGCAAAGGTCAGTTGCCAACAGAACACCAATGCTTCGATCAAACTACGTGGCTGTACAGCAAGTCACCAACAATTGGTGTGAGCTACGCTGGGTATTTCTCACTAGCCGAAACTCACAATTTAGTTTTAAAGGGGAAGTCCGGTGAAAAAATATATTTCTGGTCCCGTAGTGTTTGGGGTGCCGAGTCGAATGGTCTTTGTCTGAGGAGGCTGTGGTTCATGGTTCGTCAGTTACGCCCAGCCGAACATGCATTGATTCCAATGGTGATGGTCCAAGGTTGATCGGAGCAGCCATTCCCGAGTTACACCAGCTTGAAGTTTGCAGTATATTTGGTGACATTGATGACGATGACGTCATTAACCCTTTCCGGGTTTATGGCGAGTATACTCGTCATGCAGACCCCATCGTGTCTGGGCAATGACGAGTATACTCGCGCTATACTTTTTGTACAGTCCACGTTCCGTACGCACTGATAGATCACTGTACAAACAGCCATAACTCTGGAACGCATTATCGCATCACCATGATCATTGGAACGGTCTTGGAAAGGGCTTTCCAGGGGTGTTTCGGTGCGGCGATAGCTCAACAAAATGATCAAGCGGAGATAAATTGAACGCGCGATTTCGATTTGAACAATTTTCTTACTTTCTGTCTGGTGATTATTGGGATTTTCAAGTCATTCAAGGGGATTTCCCAATGACGTGTCAAAAGCAACATGACATATGAGTACATCTTTTGAATCGCTTGAATCTCACCAATTCGATGCAGTTCGAATCGTAGTTCTACGTTGAGTATGAGCCCCAAACCGAAGGAAGTAGTTGTGCGTGGTCTTGATGCCAACCTGGAGCACGGTAGAGACACTGTTGGCGAGGCTACAGTCCATTCATTGGAAACTGGCACCATAACTTTTTGGTGTCTCCTGCACATAGTTGTAGATATTGTGAAAACAACAACAGTACATCCTGCATTGTGTGACCCATGCAATTACTTCTTGCCACATTTGAGGCCAGAAAAGTCGAAGGACAGGGAAATAGAAATAGGTTTTACAAAATTGGGACAGGTATACCATAGCAAAATGTATGGAGGAGCAGATCCAAGACCCAGATTTTTGAGGTTTAAAGTGGGGTTTTGATCCTCAATTCGGCCCCAATCGGACTTTAAGAAGCCAGCGGGACAGTTTCCGATGAATGGACTGTAGGGGCCTCCTTGGGGTGCTGTATGCTCTGAAAATACGTGGAGGATGACGAGCAGGAAAAGAGCTTTCCAGTAAGCCATGCATTGTGAAAATGCGTTGAGAAAGAAATGTTGTGACAATGGACCGATTGCCATTTGTACAGATCCACGAAATCCCGTAGACCCGGTAGGTTGTTCATTGTGTGCTATGCATGCGCATTTGACCTTTTTAGCGTCATAATTCAATGACCAGCAATCGCTTTTCCAGCTTCTTCACTTTGGTTAGAACTATTGACAAGCTAGATCTTTGTCAGAAAAAAGGTTTTCGTATGAAATGCCTTCAGGCCCCATCTCTTAGTGGAAATAGCAGAAAACACAAAAGGGTCCTGCACATTCAACACCCTACCGGGTCTACGGGATTCTAAGGGATTTCGTGGATCTGTACAAATGGCAATCGGTCGATTTGTTTGTTGCTATCTCCAATTGTACTGATGCACTGAATTTCAGTGCCAGGCGTAGTAAATGCACTGTGACCCTGAAAGGGTTAACTTGCCCAGACTAGGCCAGATTTATGACGTCAGAGACATAGACTTTGTATGGGAGTTTTTACAACAATAGCCGAAAGGCACCATGGTGCAAACGCCAGCAAGAAATAGCGGGGGTACATAACAATTGCAGTCAAAAGCAGTGGACATGGGGCAGAAGCAACTAAACCGACCAAGGGCCTCGGTATCAACACTGCTCATCAACACTGCTCATCAACACTGCTCATCAACACTGCTCATGCGCGTCGAACAGAACAAAGAGATATATGAAAACGAAGCGTTTGTCGTCGTCCTTCAGTTCTTTCTGTTATGCGGTTTTGCTATGCTCAGATCCGTGCCAATGTAACCGATGGTCTTAAGGTCCCCAACGACTGGAATCTCACTGTCACAGGCTTGACGCCGAGTTCGGCCTACGTATGTACCGCGAAGGCAGGACATTACAAGGCCTTGTCTGAATCGGGGAACGCGTTCCGCTTCACGACGGCACCGCGTAAGTACTATCCACCAGGCAACTCACTTACTACAGTGTGTGTGTGGGGGGGGGGGGGGTGCGTCTGTGCACGGTTCTAGGTCAAAATAGTGGGGGGGGGGGGGCGGGCGGGCAGGAGAAACAGTGACCCGGTAATCCATTTTTGCATTTTCCAAAATTGTCTTGCCATGTGAAATGCAACGTACAGGAGTCACCCCTCATCCCCCACCCCGACTTTGTTGTCATGTTGCCAGTCATGATTGTTCGCTTGTCGTTCTGACGTTTCGTGTCGATATGGGTCTTGAATATCATTTTGTGTCTTTCTGTCACGTGTTTGTGTACGTGTGTGTGTAAGTGTGTGCGTGTACGTGTGTGCATATGTTGGTGGTCGCACACGCTCGCGTGTGTGTACATGCTCTTGTGCACCTGCGTGTGTTTTTGTGTGGGGGCGTGCGCGTGTGTCTATGGCTATGCAGAGTACAAGGCGTATATGCGTCCAAATGAAGTCCGGACCGATTTCTGTCCGTTTGGCTTTATTGTGTACGACGTTAAAACCAACCTGCCCTGGGATCACGTCCAGCGGTACAGTGTACAGCTTCGACCGGACCACAGCAACGGCGTCGCTAAGAACCAGATCGTCATGACGTTTGGTCCTCGGAACAATGGCACGCACGTGCGTTGCGGCACAGCCAACGTCACCAAGTTTGAGATAATCTACGTTGCACGAGGTATGACGCGCATCTTTCCCTAGGCCCTTGTGGACCCGAGTGGCTGATTGTGTTCATGCAGATTCGCAAAGCCTTTTCTCTCTGACTCAAACGGCTCACATTTTTGACCTCACTGATGTTGCCAGTGGTCGTAGATCTTGTGTATTGTTTGCTGTCTCGTGCCTACGGTTGGGAATCATGTGTGTATTTTATTTTTTTATTTTATTTGTTTACTATGTTCACATACCCGGCTCGTAAATAATAATGAAAGACAATGGTACTGAGACTGTGTGTGTATGTGTGTGTGTGTATGTGTGTGTGTGTGTGTGTGTGTGTGTGTGTATTTGTGTACATTGGCGTGTTCTTTTTTTTGTGGCCTGTGCGCATGCATTCTTGTTCAGACTTTTGCACTCCGTTTAACAGCAGCGCGGGCAGTACCCTTGGGGAGCGCGAGATCAAGTTGAAGCTGGGCGGAACGTACACAGCAGCATGCCGCAGTGGCTATCAGGTATGCAGTGGGCGTAGCTGCTCCCCCTTTCGGGCGGGTGCACGGCCGCACACTTGTACAGTAAAACCTGTCAAGGTGACCACTTCGAAAAGACGACCACCTATCCTGTAAGACCACAGGAACCAGAACCAAGGGATGCTCTCTCCAGTCAATTGACCCTGGATAAGGAGGCCACATGTTGAAGGTCCCTTGAGCGGGCGTCCTAGACAGGTTTCCCTCTATGTGTGGGATGGCTGGTGCATGTCATTATGTGCATTCTGAACTTGGGTGGATTTGGGGGGGGGGGGGGGGGCATGCACATTACTCGCCTGGGTGATACTAACCTTTTCGATCAGCTCCAGTCTACATTGTCTCTGCTTCGCTCTCGATTTCTTTTCTGGCTATGAAATGAAGAGTAACGTTCGACTATTCTGTTGCCGGATAAGATCCCTTTACCCAAATTTCGAGAAGGAATTGGAGTTGTGAGCTCCACCGCCAGTGCTGAACACATGTAATTTAGGTTGGCTTTTACCACTTAACTCAGCTGTGAATTCAACGTCAGAGAATAGGTCAACTGGCATTTCAATCAGAGTAGACACCTCCAACACACTGGGGAAAGTTAGAACACTCGTTCGTTCACTTGATGAACATTCGCTGTAGGAACTTCCATTTGTAGAGAATCATGACATTCGTTCCAGCACTGATTTCATTACAGAGGCTAAGCTGCGCACGTTCTGTTTGACGTGATGCGCAACTTCACGTCAAATGGGTCGACATTTGGGGTAATACGCCAACTTTCCACACGAGATGCAGCTCATTCGCGTAGCCAAATAACGTGAGCGGAACTTCCACGTCATGTCAAAATAACATGCAGCTTAACTTCTCCAAGGGGCCGGTCACATTGAGGGAACAATCCTCTGGAATTTAATTTCGTCTTTTTCGTCCAAGGAGCATTTGGACTAAATTAAATGCCGGACTGATGTCGATTTGTCCAGCTTTTCAATACACGCTTATGGTCCATGGACAAAATTTACAACCGGACGAACTCCGTTTCTTTGGAGTTGGACGAAATTATTTACCGACAAAATTTGCTGCCAGTACAGTACACTGAGCAGCTATTCAACACGAGCGTTGTTTGGACTGTTTTTGTGTAGATCCTCGGCGCGCACACAGTCACCTGCCGGAACTTCACGCTGAGCAACGAGGCACCGCTGTGCGTGCCGGTCACCTGCGACGTCTACTCCCAGCCGTCGCAGATCGCCAACGGCTTCCAGCTGACTCAGCTGCCGCCGAGCGGTCGCTACGCCGTCGGAACGAGCGTGTTGTACGCGTGCGAGTACCACTACGAGTTTGTGAGCTCCGTGGGCTCTGTCAGCTGCACCATGAACTCGTCGTCCGGGGCCGTCTGGTCACAGCTGCCTTCATGCAGAGGTTAGTTCATCAAACTTAGTTCCCTACTCGTAGACACCGGCGAATGGTCATGTGTCACATTCCACTCATTGGTTATGGATTACCGTAGTGTCTTCACTGTCTTGTAGAAATGCCTCAGTATCGAGGTACACTGTCGGCACATACGCCTGGTTTTAGTGTTGACATGCTTAGAAATACCTGTCTTGTATAGATGCCTGTCACATATAGAAGCCTGCAAAATCTCCCTAAGAAAGTCTTATAAGCCGCGGCTTTCACACACGACTTTACTGTAGAATAAAAAAAATAATTTATAATCCATTGTCATCGTCAGGCAATGCAATGCGTCTGGATGCCATGAGCACAACAAAAACATATATTTAGTTCCTTTTATAGTCCATTCCCTCAACTATTGAGCATTTAGTTCTCTACTCTACTTGTAGACACCGGCCAATGGTCACGTGTTACAGTCCACTGACACGCCGTACTGGCTATAATAAGAATCCAGTATCGTTGTCGGCCGATGCATGTCCTATCTTGGGATGGTAGTAGTGTGCACTGACACGCCGTGTGTCTTCTGGAAATAGAACTCTAATGTATTCGCATTGCCAGCCAATGCGTGTTCAGTCTTAAACTGCTATGAAAACAGTCAGGACATGCAAAAGAATGATGTTTGCAACCGTTCCGATCACGAGATTTTCTGTCGGAAACTGCTGTCCGGATGGTTGTCGCGGGATTTTTTCATACTTATAGTTTTATGCTTTGTGACGTCTGCCATGTGTCTAGCTATCGACCCTTGCCAGTCTGCGACGTGCCCGGGGAATGCAACGTGCACGCCGCAAGGATTCCCCAACTACAAGTGTACGTGCCCCGCTGGGTACTACCACAACGCCTTCCACGGCGCTTGCATGGACATTGACGAGTGTCAAAAGGCAACCGACCTCTGCCCCGGTATGTATTGTAGAACGACTCATTTTAGCGTGTGCAATTTTTAGCGTTTACTGAATCTGGACCCATTCGCGATGATATTTTGTAGCGATTCGAGTTTCAGAGTTTGCAAAACTTTAGCGAAACCACTTCTTTCGCTACAATCGCTAAAATATCACCATGGCTGAAATTAGTGTGTATGTGATGGAGGTGGAGTAATGCATCCGTGAACTGTTTGTTGTGTCAACAACACAGAACACCGTGCACTGGTAGGTTCCCTTTCCGTACTGCTCATACAAGCATGCACGTCTGATCGCTTGACTCATGTTTACGCCCTGCACCCGTTCAGGGGTTCGCAGGCCTAGGGCTGCACGGCGCCAGGCGTGGCATTGACTGGCTCGATTGGACTTCATTCAGCATTGTGCATTTCTCTACATTACAACCCTTACGTGCTCTCACAACAACATTGGACTCATCTTCTAGCAGGTTTTTAACTTAGGGCTGAAAGGAATATTCGAATTATTCGAATATTCAAAATATGCGAACCGGAATAAGAATATTCTTCGTTAAAGTAGAATACGAATATTCGTAAATGTACACAAATTCGCCTTTTGGGTAGAAAACCAGGCATATTTGGTGCAAAATACGAGTAGAGTTGCTACCTTCACAATGTGTTACCATCAACAAGATGAATGATAACATTGTCCTTTTTCATTGTCCTTTTCACACATCTCTCTTGTAATTGGGGTATACACCAGTCAATGGTCTATGGTTACCATGGATACAACTAGGTATCCATGGATAGTGTACGGTTTAGAATATTCGGAATATTCTTCGTTTCACATGTATTCGGAAAAAGAATATTCGTTCGCTTCATTGAGCATTCGTTTCAGCCCTAGTTTTTGTGCCGGTCAAACAGCAACTGATCCAAAAAATGAGCATGATAATTATGTCATATCAATGTGTGAAGTGGAAATTTTGGCAACTTGCATACGCATGTGTGTGTTTTCGTGTGTGTGTTCGTGTGTTTGTGTGTTCGTGTGTTTGTATGTTCGTGTGTTTGCGTGTTTATGTGCTTGTGTGTTTGTGTGTTTATGTGCTTGTGTGTTCGTGTGTAAAATAGAAAAACTAGCATACCATAATCGCTTGTGTGTGTGTGTGTGGTGTGGTGTGTGTGTGTGTGGGGGGGGGGGGGGGGATCATTTTCAAGTCCACCCAGAGTTTTGGGGATTTTAGGGGGTGTTGGCCGTTGGACGGTTCAATATCCAATTGAGTCATCTTTCCAAGATTCCTTTTGAGTCTCTCTCCCGGGGGACTCACGTGACCAGTTTTGGCAGCGAGCAACAAGTACAAGGGTGTGTGTGTGTGTGTGTGTGTGTGTGTGTGCATGCGCATGTGTGTATCTCTGTGTGTGAGATTTCTGTCGGCGTTAGACAGACATGTCGGTGATCTATTGCCTACATAGAGTAGACGCAGTGTCGTCCATTGTTCTGACAGGCTTTTGAACCTCCGAAAAGCGTGGAGTCCTTGAAAAAATCTGCGAAGCGTAACCGTTTCTTGAAAGGATGTCACCAGAGCACAACCCAGGTGCATGACACCGAAGTGCGACAATGAGAAACAGTTTGAATGACCGCGTGGCTCAAAGAAGTGTCCAGAATTCATGCGGAAGCCGGCCAGCCACTGCTGTAACAACATGATGGTACGCGTCCGCACACAGCCAAAATAAATCAATCCACGTGTGTTTGCGGCGCAGGGGAAAGCAAAAAGGGTTCGACATTTAGGTTGTTGTTCAGCCTGCGCAAAGCCCCAATCTCAACGTCGACGACTTGGCATTCTTCCACAGCCTGAAGACAGACGTGTCAGTCGTGACGAAGGAAACCAGAAAGGAGCGTCTGCAGGCTATGGAAACATGCTGGCACGAGTACCCAGCTGGCAAGATAAGGAACGTTTGGTTGTGTCTGTATGGCTCTCTCCATGGTAGTCTGAACGGCAGAGACAACAATTACCAGCGCAGCCGTGGAGGTCATTAAGCTCACACTTCGAGCGAAGAACTTGGCGATCTCCGCGACCAATTGTGTCTGGGCAATCTATAAAGGCAGCAGGACACAAACTGGCAGCGCTGGAGGTGGAAAGTAAGCAAGGATGCCGACTCGATGTCATCATGTTATCAAGGAGTGAGTCGTCATCAAATTCAGACAAAGAATGAAGCTGGACTACAAGTACTTTGAAACGTGTGACATCTGTGAATACCTATCTCTCATATGCTACTTTGTTTTCCACTTTGCAAAGCGTTTTGGTAGCCATAGAATGCTTTAAACTGAACTGTAAACATGCAACGAAGTTTTGCTTAACGGAGGAAGTATACGTGTATGTTTGTGTACTCATGTTCCCCATGTCACTCTACAGTTCGCCCTCACTTTGGTTGCAAGAATACGATTGGGTCATATTCGTGTGACTGCGTTCAGGCAGCGCGTAGAGAATATCGTCCCAGAACCAGTCCCAGCAGCAAAGAAGTGTTTGACTGCAAGGGTGAGTCAGGAAAACAACATGCATATGTGTGCACACTCACACGCATGCATATGTGTGCACACTCACACGCATGCACACTCTCTCTCTCTCTCTCACACACACACACATGCACACACACACACACACACACACACGCACACTTACCTTTTCTTTTGGCACCCACGGAGGCGACCATAGCGATGCTACGGCAGAAGCCATTGCAACTTGTACTGGGATTGCACCATTCAACAGCTTGCAAGGCTGAAGAATTGACCATCCACTATTCAGCATGGCCTCTGTTGGTGTTCAGTGTGGTAATGGCATAATTTGGTCAATTGCACATTTATAACGCAGTACCCTGTACGTACAATACACACCTGTACATGATACAAAGGCGAGTATGCATTTACATTTGCCTGATTCTGTCAATCATGGTGTGTGCGTGTGTGTGCGTGTGTGTGTGTGTGTGTGTGCATGCATGCGTATATCTGTGCATTTCGTTGTGCTTTCTCTATGACCAGTTGACTGCAACTACACCATAGCCAACCTAGGCACATTCGTCTTGACTCTCGGCAGCCATCGCACTCTGCAGTGCCCGCTCGGCCACAAGCCTGTTGCTCCATTCACCATCAGCTGTGGCCCGAAGGCCGAGCTATCCACATCGCAGCCCCAGTCTTGTACACCGATGACCTGCCCCGACATTGGGACCGGTCTGACAAACTACAACTTCTCGCCGACCAAGATCAGTGCGAACTACTCCCTGGCTGGACCGCACCTTGTCGGGGCCAGCGCCTCGATTTTCTGCGACCCGTCCAGCAACGAACGGCTGGAGCTGCAGCTGATGCCCCGCTTGCAGTCGTTCGCAGCAACTCTTGTCTGCACGCTCCGAACCGACCGCATCCTGGAGGAAAACGTTTGGGTTTCCAGCCCCGGCTCACCGTTCAGTGACGTATCGGGCGTGCGGTGCTCGGGTAAGTTTTGCGCTCCCTTCGCTCGAGGTGACCAGTGACTATCATGCATGCTTGACTCTGTATTTGGGGGCGGCGGGGTGTATGGTGGTGACAACCGCTGCAAGTGCCTATTCTGGGAAGGGGATCTTGGGCCTGGAAAGCCGATACGCCAGGAGGTTCCCCCTTTGGCAACACACCGATACAGGGCAAACTTTGGAGCTTGGACAAAGTTTTAAATAGTGTTGAAACGAGCGTATCTATAACAAACGAGCGATCAGTTCCACTAACGAGCAAGCTATCGAGCGATCTAACGAGTTTCATTGATGTGGCAAATATGATTATTTTTTTGAATAATTTTTTTTCTAAGTTCGATTTTTTTCAGCTGGTTCAAATTATCACCGCCGGCTTTTGGGTTTGCTGCTGCTTCACTTCGGACTGCTGTTTGGTGTCGAGATGTCTTTTCAGCGCGGTCGTGGATTAGCCTTTGTAATAATAGACCGTTTTGCAAAGATTGCAAGTAGCCCTGGTCTTCGCTGCATCGCGGGAGAAAACTTCCAAACGACTGAGCGTAACTTTCACTCGAATGGAGAGGTGACTGAAGCATATCCTGCGACAGGTCAGCAGATGCGGAACAAGACATCAGTAGAGTCCACCAAAGCTGCAACGACAACTGAAACAACTCAAGTGTCGTGCAGGCATACAGTCACCTGTAACTGCGAGTGATTTTCACTTTGCGAGGGACTGGACTCTCGATCCACCAGGGAGTCGTAAAATATTTTTACGACTCCCCGGTCGACATGTACTGCCATGTGTACGGAGTACGGTGTTCGTTAGTGCAAACGAGCTGGCCGCACAAACGAGCCGAGTTTCTGGCGAGCGAGCTAACGAGTATCCGGTGAGATCGTTTCAACACTAGTTTTAAAGGTTTTTTTATTGAGCACTCTGGGCTCTATTTCTTTGGATACCCACAAGGGATCAGCCTTTGTTTTGCAGCATTTTCTGACTTCCCGCTGGCTAGTAGCTTAATCACTCCAAGTCTCTATAATGTTGCTGTCGTTGTCCAGAGTTTCATGTTGTACTGGCTTACCAGAACCACCCCGGTTTGTCAGGTTACAACTCTTTGGCCGCCAACACATGTGTCCGAATGTTAACGGCATTTGTAATATTTGTGTGTGTGTATGTGTGTGTGTACGCGTGTGTGTACGTGTGTGTGTACGTGTGTGTGTATGTGTGTGTGTGTGTGTGTGTGTGTTCTCTTGTTGCAGATTCTTGTGAGTTCTCTCGGGCCATTCCTAACGGCTACCTGGCCAGGACACGAGGTGGACAGCCAGCCGACGTAAGATGCAACACGGGCTACGCCCTGCGCAAACACGGTGACATCACGTGTGGTGGTGCCAGCAGTCCTTTCTACACCTACACGCCTCTGGCTAACGGCAACCTGCCTTTCTCCTGTGTCTGTGAGTAATGACTCCAAATACCTTGTTTATCCGGACGGTTTCGGGACCGGGCACTGTCCGTACCTTTGAAATGTCTGTAACTCCGAATCACATGCACTTCGATGGAGAAAGGCCTTAGACTTGACATATTGATGTCACTAAATCCAACAAAAGTGAAAACAAACGCTTCCCCAAAAGTGAAAAGACCGTAGTAATACTACGGAGCATCAGCAAAATTGAATTTTCGATTTGATTATTCGAATGGCAAAAAGAAAATCAGCCCGAAAGTTCGAATGAAAAAGAGGTGTAGTAGACGGACTTTCTACCGTATCATACCGTATGTACTGTATATCGATAGACTTACCATATCATATATATAGTACCGTACTGTACGTTATTTTGTGTACGCCGTGTGTACGTTATGTTGGTGCATGCACGTGTTGCTGTGGTGTAAAAAGCAGTCTTGGTCTTGAGTTCGTCATGTCTTCGTCTTGAGTTCGTCATGTCTAGTTGCGTCCCGTCGTCGTGTCAATAAAAGCCGGAGTACTGGGGTTTTGAGATGTGCAATGGCTGCGTTTGTTGCAGAGCAAGTCGATTTGTTGGATTCGCTTCTCTTCCTTGAATTCGCTGAAGGTCACCTAGACCGAACGGAGTTACTGCTGTTTCTCATTGCCGTTGAGGATTACGCGAAGCGACGGATGATTCATCCGAATCAGGCTATTGGCGATAGGATCTCTCCCCTTGAAAAGGCGGATCTCGGCCGAGCTCCTCCGCTATGCCTTGCATATCAGGAGACCCGCGGACGAATAGCTGAGGGTGGGCCCAACACTTCCTCAGCAGAATGAGATCCATGGTGAGGTCGAACCTCAAATATTTGGCACACTTAGAGTTGCCCTCTCCCTGCGGGGAACTCACCATAGACGCAGATGCCGAGGCAACGTCAGCAGGGCTACTGGGAGGAGGAGGCATATACCGGGGCTGGTAGTTGGTGAAAAAAGCCATGATTCCAGGATCTTGAAAGGAAACAAAAGCACACTTGACACAACTGTTCACAGTTCGAGAGAGAGGAAAGCGTCAAGAAGTCCGGTTCGACTAGTGCCTTGTGCACTTACAACTACGACTGCATGTACTACACTAGATGCAGTAAGAACTAGTTGCTATATGTGCAAGTACGGGTACTCGTAGTGCACCGTGTACTCTACTACATGTAGAGCACGCGCGGAGCATTCGAAAAGTATTTTCTGTTTGCGGGCATTTTTCAGTCGAACAAAGCCCTAGTTTCGACTGATTGAGTGCTTTTCGTGACGATTCTCGAATTTCACTCGAAAGTTCGATTTGCTGATGCTCCGTAATTATTTCCACGGAAACTGCCCGGAACTACGAATCACATGCACTTTGATGGAAAAATGCCATAGATATGACAAATGGCGTCACCAAATTCACCAAATATGAAGAGAGAGAGAGAGAGAGAGAGAGAGAGAGAGAGAGAGAGAGAGAGAGAGAGAGAGAGAGAGAGAGAGAGAGAGAGAGAGAAGAGAGAGAGAAGAGAGAGAGAGAGAGTAGTAATATAAGTGATGTATGATTGTATCATGTTTCATTTCATCTACGAACAGCGATCGTCACACATCCACCCAAAACGGCAAAAGTTGCCGTCACTTTCATCACCATAATTTTTCAGACAATTTTCCATTGGTGTGTATTGATCGGTGTGCGATTCTGCAATGCCTATTTCTAAGTAGTCTTTTCCTTCTCATTGTATTATTTTGGGATATTTGTCTATAATCTTGTGTGCATGTGTGTGTCTCCGCTGCCTCTCTGTCTCTCTCTGTCTCTCTCTATCTCTCTCTTTCTCTCTCTGTCTCTCTCTCTCTGTCTCTCTCTCTCTCTGTCTCTCTCTCATCTCTCTCTCTCTCTCTCTCTCTCTCTCTCTCTCTCTCTCTCTCTCTCTCTCTCTCTCTCTCTCTCTCTCTCTCTCTCTCTCTCTCTCTCTCTCTCTCTCTCTCTCTCTCTCTCTCTCTCTCCATCTCTCTCTCTCTCTCTCATCTCTCTCTCTCTCTCTCTCTCTCTCTCTCTCTCTCTCTCTCTCTCTCTCTCTCTCTCTCTCTCTCTCTCTCTCTCTCTCTCTCTCTCTCTCTCTCTCTTTCTCTTTCTCTATCTATAATTATATCTTCTGTCCATCCACAAAAGGCAGAAGAGAACAGAAACAACCGGCTAGGTCATTAGAGAAGTTCCGGAGTACGATTTTTCGTGCCAAAATCCGTAGAGGCACTACGGATTTTTATACGTCGTTTTCGAGCAGTGAAATGTTCCGGAGTACGGAACTTATGTGTTTGCCGTCATTCCCTAGGTTACGATCGCAAACACGTCACATTCCCGAGCTATGCCTTTTTATTTTGAAAATTTGTACCGAAATCAAAACTTCCCGCGGAAAATCGATGTTTCTCGTACCAACTGTGTACGCGAAAAATCTTTTTGCACCCGATGACGCAAAATCTCCATACGAAACATGGTTCGTGTGAAAGCCAGTCCACACGGATTCTTCGTGCCGAAAAATCGTATGGAGCACGCCTCGAAAAAATCCGTAGCGCCCATACGGATTTTGGCACTGAAAATTGTACCCCGGAACCTCTCTATTGTAACAACAATGAACCAGCCGGTTGTCTCTGTTCTCTTCTGCCTTTTCTGGTATTACTCCATCCTTGTGGTTTTGAGCACTCTGGGCAATCTGGAAATTCTCGCTATTGTGTATCTTCTGTCCATCTGTCTCGTTGTGTTTCCAGCCACCAACCTGTGCAAGTTGAATGCATCGTATTGTCCGACCAAATCGGACTGTGTCTACCAGGGCGATGGAGCTGGCGCTACCTGTACCTGCGCTGATGGGTTTGCCTTCGACACCGAGAAATGGCAGTGTGTTGATGTCGATGAGTGTCTGCAGGTTAAACTTGATCCATCATCGAAGAACTGCTCTGCGTTTGCAGTGTGTCAGAATTCTCCCGGTGCTTTCACGTGTTCTTGTCCGTCGCACTACAGCGGTGATGGTAAGTGTGTTGCGCGTGTACAGTTCTGCCCAGTGGAATCTTGTTGCATCACACTCAAGTTTGCGCCTGGCGTGATGTCGCGGCCCAGTGTTCGCAGGTCTAGGGCTGCGCAACACCTGGTGCGTACTTGAGTGACAGGACTGGATTTCATCGAGCAGCACTCTGCTACGTCGTTTTGTATACGTCATGTTTGATTTCTCTAATTGTCCGCAAATACCATTGCCCTGATGATGGGCCAGGCCCGAAAATTTGGCGTAATGTTAATTTTAATTTTGGTTCGAATCGCAGCGAAGAGACCGTTTTTGGAGTTGAGAAGTGAAGTTAAAATGTCATTTATTCTCACGATGGCCTGTGGCCAATAAAAGAAAAAAGAAATGGTAATAAGGAGTGTATCACGCCTGCTGGGCACAATGGGGCTACAGATGTGCTGAGCAATGTGAGCAGGTACATACGGAAAAGCCGACAAGAGGTAGGATGTTTGCGTTGAAATCTCGTCTGGGGTTGATTTGCCGGAGGCTGAGTGGGATGTTATTGTGTACGTGGTGTTGGTGCATGCGCATGTTTGTTGCTGTGGTGGGAAAGGCAGTCTTCGTCTTGAGTTCATCATGCCCAGTTGTGTTCTCGTCGTCTTCTTGTAATACACAGTCCTCCAAGTGTAGTTACCTCGTCAATTGTCTAAGTGCGGAGATGCAGTCATTTACACTTTGCTTTGTGGGTATATAAACCAATACTAATCCAGATTTACTCATTAGTCAGTACTGTTTTTGAAGAGCGCTTAGTGCATGTTAAAAGCGAAATACTTAACAATAACTGACGAAAATTTGAACGAAATATTTCAACTCGGCAAGCATTTACATTATAAAAAATGTTCCTCCATAAATGTGTGCCTTCATCCTTGACGGTAGTGACGTTCACGCGATACGTAAGGTCGGACCGAGTCTCACCCGCACTGTGGATTTTCGTGTTGATAGAAGTGGTCACGTTGATAGAAGTGGTCACGCTGTGTTTCTGCGGTGGTGCGTCGTGTGTCTGCTAATCGGTGTCCTGCTGCAGGGTCCAAGTGCACGCCCGTGGACTACTGCCAGTCGGGTGTGTGCCCATCGCACGCTCACTGCTCTAACGACTACACGTCGACCGCAGGCTATGTGTGCACCTGTCCTCCGGGCCACAGCGGCCCCCGCTGCACCGACATTAACGAATGCAGCAACGCCGACGGCACGCCGAGCAACGTGTGCGCGAGGGCCGTGTCCGTCTGCATGAATCAGCCGGGCAACTTCTACTGTGCCTGCAAGCACGGGTATATCCTGGACGGGACCGGAACGAACTGTGTGGGTAAGTGGTGCGGACGTATTTCTGTCGCTGTGAGTCCACCCAGAGTTTGGGGGTTTCAGGAGTTGTCGGCCATTAGGCGGTTCAATAGCCAATTGAGTCATCTTTCCAAAATTCCTTTTGAATCTCTCTCCCCCTCTACGGGAGAGACCCACGTGGCCAGTGTAAGTTGGAGGAATGTGTGAGTGGGCGACTGTGGTCTTCTTGATTTTACCTGTCCATGTACCGTGTAGGTGTACATAGCTGCTAGAGCTGAGCCGTATATCTATGAGCCTAGTTGTGAAAATAGTGTGTGCGTGTGTGTGTGTGTTTGTGTGTGTGTGTGTGTATGTGTGTGTGTGTGTGTGTTTGTGTGTGTTTGTGTGTGTGTGTGTGTGTGTGTGTGTGTGTGTGTGTGTGTGTGCGTGTGGCTAGTTCGGTTGGTGGGTACACTTATGTCTGATTGTGTTGGGTCTGTTGCCAACAGGCTCAGCTGCTTGAAGGTGTATTGTTGTATCTGCCACCTTTGTTGGTTTCAGGGTTCGTAAGCTTTCTATTTGAAGTATACATACCTGTTAACCATGGACTGCTTCTGGGTAGATTAACTCTTGTGTAATCAATGGTGCTAGTGACGCTTAGATCAGATCCACTCTGATTTAGCCACCCACACTAGTAGCAAGTATTACCTTCACTGGGGGCAGGGGTAACTGCAGTTGGATCCCAGGACGGATACCCCGATGCCGCCAATTCTTTTTCTGCACCTTGTCCTCACCCACTTACTGAGGTGTGGTAAGCCCATAAGTGGGATCATTTTCAAGCCCACCCAGAGTTTTGGGGATATCAGGGGGTGTCGGCCGTTGGGCGGTTCAATAGCCAGTTGAGTCATCTTTCCAAGATTCCTGTTGAGTTTCTCTCTCCTCTCCCGGGGAGACCCACGTGACCAGTTTTGGCAGTGAGCAACAAGGACACGTGTGTGTGTGTGTCACGCGCGCGTGTGTGTGCGCGTGTGTGTTCGTGTGCTTATGTGTGTGCTTATGTGCGTATGTTCCCTGGCACAGAGGAGGACGAATGTGGACGCGGACACCACGACTGCGCACCGCTGACCGGAGCATGCGTCAACATCGTCGGCAGTGGCCATAACTGCTCCTGTGCTGCGGGCTACCGGGGAGATGGCATCACCTGCACCAATGAGAACGAGTGCACCCTGGGTCTACACAGCTGTGGCTCGAAAGCGCAGTCGACCTGCTTTGACACCCCAGGCTCCTACGCGTGTGTTTGTGCAAACGGCTACCAGGAAAGCGCACATGGACAGACGTGTCTGGATATGGACGAGTGTTCGACCGGTGCGCACACGTGCAACACACAGACGGGTATCTGCCACAACTTGCCTGGCTCGTTCACCTGCACGTGTAGGCAAGGCAACGCCATCGACTCGTGTGACGACGCGCACCACTGCGGCACGGGAGCACAGAGTTGCCATCGTAACGCCGACTGCATTGCTGCTGGTACTGCTGCTGGCAGGAGTTACTCCTGCAAGTGCAAATCTGGGTACGAGGGAAGCGGCCGGGTCTGCGGAAACGTTGACGAGTGTCTCGTGGGCACGCACGCGTGTTCGCCGCACTCTAACTGCTCCGACACAGACGGTAGCTATGTATGCTTCTGTCGGGCCGGCTTCAAGCGAGACTCCGCCACGGGCAAATGTATTAATGTAGACGAGTGCTCCGTGGCCGCACCATGTGGTTTTGGTGCCGCATGTACAGATACGGAGGGATCCTTTCGCTGCGAGTGCGCTGCAGGGTTCCAGCTGCGCAGCGGCAGTGTTCGCATCTGCGACGATTACGACGAGTGTGCCGCCGGTAATCACAACTGCGGCCAAGGCACCACCTGCGCCAACACGGGCGGAGGATTCGCGTGTCCGTGCTCGCGCCTGTCCGGCTCTCGCCCGCTCTTCAACCAGACCCACCACGTCTGTGTGGACGTGAACGAGTGCTCGGACGGCACACACGTCTGCAGCGTGCACGCCACCTGCGACAACACCGCGATGCCGTACTCCTGCACGTGCCGCACCGGGTACGAGGGCACTGGGTTTGAGTGCTCGGACTACGACGAATGTAGTGCTGGCGTGCACACTTGCACAGCACCACGCGCCCACTGCAGCAACGTGCAGGGCAGCTACGCATGCACGTGTGCGCCCGGCCGAGAGCTGGACGCGAGCGGCTCGTGCGCTAACGTGGATGAATGCGCTCGCGGCACTCACTCGTGCCACCAGGGTCAGAAGTGCACGGACACCAGCGATTCCTTCACCTGCTCGTGCAATCCTGGTTACGTCGGCGACGATTGCAAAGACGCCGACGAATGCGTCTTCAGTCCATGCGCTCAGAATGCCGATTGCGTGAACCTGCCCGGCACCTACCAGTGTAAGTGCAGCTTTGGATATACGGGGGACGGCACCCAGAACTGCGTCGCCGTCGATCTGTGCTCGCTTCACGGCTGTAGTCCGCACGCGGCGTGTGTCCGTCCTGGCGTTGCCGCGACGGGTGGCTCGCCGACAAGCGATCGTGTCCAGTGCAACTGTCTGCTTGGCTTTACGGGCAACGGAACTCACTGTGCCGACATTAACGAGTGTAGTACTGGCGGAGGCGCGCACCTCTGTTCTCGCGGCGCTGTCTGTGGCAATACGGACGGCAGCTACGTGTGCTCGTGCGCAGCGGGGTACTCCGGCGACGGCGTGACGTGCGTGGACATCATCGAGTGCGCGAACAGCACGGCGCACTCGTGCAGCGCGGGCTCGTCCGTGTGTCGCGACGTCCCGGGCTCCTACGTGTGTGATTGTAAGTTTGGCTTTGAGGGAGCGCAGTGCTCGGACATTGACGAATGTGCTCTGACCGGCCATGCCACGCTGTGCCCTGAAATGGCCACCTGCAAGAACACCGTTGGCAATTACGAGTGCAAGTGCCCGGTTGGTTACGCAGTCGGAACGGATTTCAACGGCATGCCGGCATGCGTCGACAAGAATGAGTGTACGAACGGAGAGGCTTCTTGCTCGACCAACTCCACGTGTAGCAACACCGATGGGAGCTACACGTGCACGTGCAGCGTGGGCTTTGCTAGGGACAGCGCGGCGGGACTGTGCAAGGACGTGGATGAATGCACACTGGCTGCTTCGCCCTATCCATGCCACCAGGCGGCCGAATGCACTAACACGAACGGCAGCTATCGCTGCGCCTGCACCTCTGGTTACAGCGGCACCGGCACGTACTGTGAGGATATTGATGAGTGTAAACAACCAGCCGCCGCCAGAACACTGGACTGCCACGCCAACGCATCCTGCGCCAACAGCGAGGGCTCGTACTATTGCGCGTGCGATCGCGGCTTCGTCGGCGACGGAGTGAGCTGTGCAGATAGGAACGAGTGCGGCGAGTGCGGCACGTGCTTGGAGAACTCTGAGTGCGTCAACACCCGCGGTTCGTACAGCTGCCTGTGCAGAACCGGTTTCTACCACTACGGTGCCGTGTGTCTGGACCTGGACGAATGCCAGACCCCGGCGAACAACACGTGTGACGCGAACGCCGCGTGTCGCAATACCCTGGGATCACACGAGTGCTCGTGCCTGCCGGGATTTACCGGCAATGGCCGGCAGTGCGATAGCGTGAACGAGTGCGGCGGCGGCGCGAGCGTTTGTGCCGCCAAGAATACGGTGTGCATTGACGTGTTCGGCTCTTATGAGTGTGAGTGCCAGACGGGATACACTGGCAACGCTCACACGAATTGCACCGACGTGAACGAGTGTAATGTCGTGGGCACCTGTCACGAATCAGCGCAGTGCATGAACAACCCGGGCAATTTTACCTGCACATGCAATACAGGTTACAGTGGAGATGGACAGCAGTGTGCTGAAATAAATGAATGCTCAACTTTCGCTCACAACTGCCATTCTGATGCTACCTGTAGCAACAGTGCAGGAAACTTTACTTGCAGTTGCAATAGTGGTTACTTTGGCAATGGAGAGACATGCGAAGACAAGGATGAATGTGCTCCTGGAGCTGTACCAGTGTGCAGTGTAAACTCTCAATGTGACAACGTTCCTGGTTCTTTCCATTGTAATTGCTTCACTGGCTACTTGAAGGATGGAGTATCTTGCGTGGATATCAATGAATGTACTAATAGTTCTTACACTACCAACTGTCACACTCATTCGACATGCTCAAACACCAAGGGAAGCTATGTGTGCATCTGTCATGAAGGATACAACGGTAAGTTTATTTTGATGTAGGTTTTGGAATGAAATCGTGAAAAATTGTGTGCTTTTTCTAATACGTCTTCATACATGTCAGGGATCGACGAGGGAAAAAAAAAGCTAGAACATGTTGACCATACCCCCAGCCCCAGGACTCGAATGAAGGCTCTTCGCCTTTTGAAATTCCTTACTGAAGTGAAGATGCCTACTTGCACTTACTGTACATCTGTGTACGATTTGCTTACCTTGAGATACAACACGCATGCCTTTATTTTATTATTATCGGTTTTATTTGCAAATAAAGCTGGGTAGTTACTCAATGTATAAAAACCAGTATGTGCTTCTGGGAAGAAGGATTCACCAAAAGAACACGATTGAATGATGCAGGAAGAAGGATTCACCAAAAGAACACGTTTGAATGATGAAGCATATTATCTGGATAGAGGAGATCCATAGCTTTCCGAAGAGAGCAACATGAAGAATTTCCGAAACTGAATGAAGTTGGATTAACCCTTTAGGGCCCACAATTATTTCAAGAAATGCACTGCATACGCGAGCCCGGGTACTTATCTGGTCGTAACTTTGGTGTCCTTTGGCCGATTTTGGTGATCTTGGGCTTTCTGGAAAGCTCTTGGCCAGAGGAACACAGCGATAGCCAGCAATACATCACTCGATGCACAGAACCAGCGCCGCAGCGCGATACGGCGCTCCAAAGCCAGCATTGCGAGCGCCCAACTCAAATTCTCTGCCATTTCAACAAATTGCATCGCAGATCGCTCAAATTTTTTTACTGGAGAGCTGAGAAACATGCCTTTGCGATGACGTGAACTATCTGTAGCTGCGTGGGCCGCGAGTCAGGGAAAACCCCTAAAAACGAGTTCAAAATGCACGCGCTCGAGTTGACTCTGCTGAGCGAATTTAGTTCGAGTCTCGTATCTCCGCTCTCCGAACTCGGATCGCTTTCGGGTTTTTTCGAGCCGATAGCTGAGACAATTCTAATGTCGATAGCCCTTTCGATTGTCCGATTTGGTCAAGGGACGGCCGAGTTACGCCAGGTTCCGCTTTGAAAAGTATGCACTGTACACTGGTACGGATATATCCGTACTATGGGCCTCAAAGGGTTAATCTCAAAAGCATACTGTGACAATTGTGCCACTCTATGCTAACCCTGTTGGAATCCTTGGAAACTGTAGCCGGACTGAAAGTGTCGGGCTGTATTCGTTTTTTTTATTCGAGGCCTAACATTAGCTGTACTTATATTTGCAGGTCCTCAATGTGTACTTTCCATGCCATGCTGATACCGTATTGTCGGAGTACACGTCACACTTCAAACACCAGTAATTCACCCAAAAATGGTCGTTGCGGCTTATACTGCTACGATGGTAACATGACTAGTGGTGGTAAATGAGGCAGCTGTCTGTATTTCGTCCCAAAAGTATATATGGGTGATGCTTATACCGCAGTGCGACTTATACTCCGCAGAATACGGTATTGCGTTCCATGCAAAGAGCCTTTGAAGTTGAATCTTCCCGTCGTCACTCCGAGATCAGAGGACTCATGACACATACGCCCCTCAAAGAACTTAGGTATCAAATTGGCTGTGATCAGTTCACAAATCTGACCATATCTTTTCATTTGTTTGTACACTTCAGGTCAGGGTATAAACTGCATCGATCACGACGAATGTTACAATGGTGGCCATGATTGCCATGACAACGCGATGTGCTCCAACACAGCGGGAGGTCATAATTGCTCATGTGACCCCGGTTATGAAGGTCCAGGTACATACTGTTCAGATGTGGACGAGTGTGCACGTCATCATCACGACTGTTCGTCGGATGCCACTTGTCAGAACAACATCGGTAACTTCAGTTGTTCATGTAATTCAGGATACAAGGGTAATGGAAAGAGTTGTGTGGATGTTGACGAGTGCCTGAAATCACCGTGTGACGAGAATGCCAACTGTACGGACACCGTTGGAAGTTTTACTTGTGCATGTATACATGGTTATACAGGAACAGGAAAGTTCTGTGTGGACATAGATGAATGTTCGAGTTCCAAGGACAACACGTGTCACAGTGATGCAACATGTTCAAACAAAAAGGGTTCCTACATTTGTACATGTAATAGTGGTTTTCACGGCGATGGCATAAACTGCGCAAACATCCATGAATGTTCCAATTCATCAACTTGCACCTCGAACTCTACCTGCACAGATAATGTCGGTTCGTATACATGCAAGTGCGATAGTGGTTTCTCAGGTGATGGGATTTCGTCATGTTCCGATGTGGACGAGTGTTTGGTGACAACCTCTTGCCATGCTGATGCAATCTGCACGAACAGTGAGGGAAAGTTTGATTGCAGTTGCAAACCGGGTTACAGTGGAGATGGACAGCAGTGTACTGAAATAAATGAATGCTCAACTTTCGCTCACAACTGCCATTCTGATGCTATCTGTAGCAACAGTGCAGGAAACTTTACTTGCAGTTGCAATAATGGTTACTTTGGCAATGGGGAGATATGCCAAGACAAGGATGAATGTGCTCCTGGAGCTGTTACAGTGTGCAGTGTAAACTCTAAATGTGACAACGTTCCTGGTTCTTTCCATTGTAATTGCCTTCCTGGCTATTTGAAGGATGGAGTATCTTGCGTGGATATCAATGAATGTACTAATAGTTCTTACACTACCAACTGTCACACTCATTCGACATGCTCAAACACCAAAGGAAGCTATGTGTGCACCTGTCATGAAGGATACAATGGTAAGGTCATTTAGCTGTAGGTTGTCCTTCTACAGCACCATCAGGTAGCATCTCATAGGCTCGCGCTTTTTTTGTAAACGTAACGCATTTCGAATAGGATTTACCCCCCCCCCCCCCCCTACCTCCCCTCACTATTTGAAAGTCTTATCGCACATTTTCCGTGTTCATGTAGATCTACTACTGTACATGTCCATGCATGCCATAGTATGCACATGTACATGTACATGAATGTTTTGCTAGTGTGGAAGTGAATGGCATACAGTAGTACCGCATCTACTGAGTACAAGTAATGTCACGCGGACATGGAAATCCAGTCGATTGACGGGGGCCGGCGCCCTCAGCAGAACGCTGTGTGCAGTGTACACGTCAATCCGATGCGACCAGCGCGCTGCAGCACATTAATACATGTGTGTACCGCTTATCTACGGCGCGCATGGCCAGCGCCCTGGGGCCGCTAGACGTGCGACCGGATTTCCATGTCCACAGCTGGACGAGTCGTACAATCAATGACATGTACACGCACATAAACAGAGTTTCTCCACAAAGACTGTACTGTGAAAGCTGGCCAGGTACCCGGTTTGATAATGCTGATGTGACATTTGACACCTGTGATCAGCCTGCATTATTGATTGCATTCAGTGCAGGGTAAGCTGATCTGCAAACATACTAGTAGGTAGATCTACACCACTGTATAAACACCATGAACACACCATGAACACACCCTGCTGCTGAAGCGGTCTAGCACATGCACCATGTGCACAGCACAGTATTGTACACATCCAGAAAATGTGCGAACTGTCATTTTTCTATTCGAAAGGGCGCTACCCCCTACCCCCGTTTCGGAATGCGTTACATTTACGGAAAAAATGCGAACTTTAATAAAATATGAGATGTTCCCTTAATCTGTATAATGTTTGTTTGTTTGTTAACCCTTTCCGTGCTAATGACGTCTATAGACGTCATGCACGCTGTACGCCAAACGACTAATGACGTCAATAGATTTGCGCAGTACATCGCAGTGCATAGATCGGTGTACAAACTTTCATAACTCCGTCAAAAATACGTCCATCGCGACAATTGATACACCGTTGGAAAGGTGTTGAGCTCAGCTTTCCAGCGATATAAAGTTCTTTGCGATAGGAGAGGGATTGATGGAGCGATGTGCCAGGGGATTTCCCTTTGGTACAGGACATGCGTAATGGACACCAGCGGAAGCACGTGGATCTCAGCTTTGCAGCGCAGTTTGAATCGTGAAAATCGGCTGACCTGGAGCAAGAAACTGAAAAAGAATGTGAGATCGAGTTCCTGTGCCTTTCCTAGGCATCGTGCGGTAGCTTCAAGAGGACGTAGAAGTCCCACCGCTGTGCATATTGAGTTGAGAGATACCAGGATGGATTTGCTTGGTCCTGATCTTTCCAACAAGCCAAGGATAATGAAAATCCATGAAGGTAAATTGAGAGAAAATTCGTTCGGACCTGCACGCAAAAACGACACCAGGAGAGTCGGTGCGCTGGAAAGGCACTTTGCTGGAGTAAAAGGGGCCAGCACGGAGAGGGTTAAGAGAGCACGTCCGAGAAAACCAGAAAAAGCTGGGCATCTCTCCAATTTCGCTCAAATTTTGCAAATAGGTTTCCTTTGGGGTCTACAACAACCATGCGAAAGGGCGCGCTGCAAAACTTACGGGCACCTTGGAACTAGGGACCACCTCGAAATTGGCCCAAAATACGACTGAATGTTGGGTCCAACAACGAGCGCTGGTACAGTGTCCACAATGGAGCTGAGAACAAACCACCACCATGCCAACATTACCTCACCTAAGTTGTCTTCACATCACCACCACATAGAGCCATGGCTACATCCAGGAAAGCAATGGCCATCATCTCCAAATATCACTACTAAATTGTATCATTAAAATAGCCAAATTTCAAGTGCCATAGCGGGAATCATTTACGGCGTCTATTTTCCTTTATCGTGCACTGCAGGAGAGTGGACTATCCACTACCACCCAGGACATGTCTCGTAAAAAGTGTTCCACGTTTTCTGGAAATAAACAAATTTGAATATTTTCACTTCACCACATCGCAACATTAGGGAGGTTTAGTCCCACGTAATCCGTGGGTATTTACGTGTGTGTACCACGTGATACTCAGTGACCCACGTACAGACGTTTTCTGATTCACGACATACCGTGTATGGAGGCTCACCCACGTTCCGCCAGAACGTGGGTGAAAATCAAAATGGAGCGCATTGTGCGAGCTGTGAGAGTGCTCAGCTGAAGAAGTTACCGGAGCACGAAATCAAAATATTGGATGAGCTTCTTAGGCCCGGGTAGCTTCGTCTTGGACCAGGTTTGGGCCTTTCGCTTCATGCTTTTGTTTGTTCTGTGTGACTAAACACAACATTGCAACATGGGTGCCCTTCATCCACTTTACGTGTATCACCCACGTACGCGTTTCCGTTGCATGGGAACTAAACCTCCCTATTACTCGACGACAGAAAGCGCCACTTCAAGCTCCAAACCCAGGCACCACTCCAGACACCAGCACGCCAAACACTGCAGCGTGGTCATCTCTACCGAGTCTGACAAAAAATTTGAACTGACAACCCTTGTCACTCCAAGTAGCAAGCATTTCCTTCCCTGAACGACTCGAATTTCACTAGCAGCAAAGCTGTGCAGAAGGACAAAACATATTGAACAAATCTCGACTTGTGCAATTGAAGCACGACATTTTTGCGTCCTGAAACTGGCCGTGCGCCGACCACCGCGTGACATTGGAGATCAACGGATTTGATGATCATGTTCTGGATTTTTAATTTATGCTTGTATGCCAAACTTTTGTTGTACATGTGGCTGCACGTGTGTCGTACCTGCTACTGTATTTGTGTCTCTGTGCTGCTGACCCATACATGCTGCAACGCTGCTTTGTTGTATTGCTGACACGTACACCTTTTTGTGCTGATATGATATCGAGTACACCACTTTTTGTGCTGATGAGGGCACCAATTTTCATGTTTCTTTTTGCCATGTCAGTTGTCAGTTCTCCGATCGGATCCTGAGGTGTAGTAATGAAAAGCTCTCTCTCTCTCTAGCTCTAGAGAAAAACCACTTGACTAGTCCGTTTGATGTGTGGCGTAGCGAGGGTATAGTAGAGGCAGCTCGTTCTCCAACCGAGACGACACTCGTATGCCAAACTCTGTAAAGAAAAAAGCTGTAATTCTTTCCGTATGGTTCTGTGTGTCTGTGTGTGTCTGTGTGTGTGTGCATGCGTGCGTGTGTGTGTGTGTGTGTGTGCACCGCAGGTGACGGCACGAACTGCATTGATCACAACGAATGTCAGGCGGACAGCCACGAGTGCCATCCTAATGCCACGTGCTCCAACACGGTGGGAGGTCATAATTGCTCATGTGACTCAGGTTACGAAGGTCCAGGGACCTACTGTTCAGATGTGGACGAGTGTGCACGTGATCTTCACGACTGCTCGTCGGATGCCACTTGTCAGAACAACATTGGCAACTTCAGTTGTTCATGTAATTCAGGATACAAGGGTAATGGAAAGAGTTGTGTGGATGTTGACGAGTGCCTGAAATCACCGTGTGACGAGAATGCCAACTGTACGGACACCGTTGGAAGTTTTACTTGTGCATGTATACATGGTTATACAGGAACAGGAAAGTTCTGCGTGGACATAGATGAATGTTCGAGTTCCAAGGACAACACGTGTCACAGTGATGCAACATGTTCAAACAAAAAAGGTTCCTACATTTGTACATGTAATAGTGGTTTTCACGGCGATGGCATAAACTGCACAAACATCCATGAATGTTCCAATTCATCAACCTGCACCTCGAACTCTACCTGCACAGATAATGTCGGTTCGTATACATGCAAGTGCGATAGTGGTTTCTCAGGTGATGGGATTTCGTCATGTTCTGATGTGAACGAGTGTTTGATGACAACCTCTTGCCATGCTGATGCAATCTGCACGAACAGTGAGGGAAAGTTTGATTGCAGTTGCAAACCGGGTTACAGTGGAGATGGACAGCAGTGTACTGAAATAGATGAATGCTTAACTGGCATTCACAACTGCCATTCTGATGCTATCTGTAGCAACAGTGCAGGAAACTTTACTTGCAGTTGCAATAATGGTTTCTTTGGCAATGGAGAGACATGCCAAGACAAGAATGAATGTTATGGAGCTGTACCAGTGTGCAGTGTAAACTCTCAATGTGACAACGTTCCTGGTTCTTTCCATTGTAATTGCCTTACTGGCTACTTGAAGGATGGAGTATCTTGCGTGGATATCAATGAATGTGCTAATAGTTCTTACACTACCAACTGTGATGCTCATTCAACATGCTCTAACACCAAGGGAAGCTATGTGTGCCTCTGCCATCAAGGACATAGCGGTAAGATTATCTTGAATTAATTTTTGGACATGTGCGAGCTAGATCAGGAAAAAAGACCTGAAGGTCGCACAGAAAAATAATTTTTTTATCGCATGCACCCCACACACCCATAGCCATTGGGGTTTGCAATGCGTATTTCACTGGAAATTATCAAGTCACTTGGATGGGATTGATTGAGCGAACAGAACTCGTCTGCAGGCAGGATGCCAACCAGTAGTTGCAGTGCGCCAACAGACTCCCTGTGATCAACTTATAAACGGATGCTGGAGACCGCAAACAGTACTATTTTGTTTAGACAAGTTTACGTACACGGTCTGTTACGAGTACTGAGGATTGCACAGCTGTTGCCTGAGCTGGTTCGAGCCATTAACTGCGCACATGGGGGGACGGGGTCACAGCGGGAGTGACATCGGACACCAATCGCAAGCCCATGCATGGCACATTGCATGACACATTGCTTTGCGGCACAAAGCGTCTCCTTTTCTGTAACATGGCCAAGTACAGTGGGCCGGCCGTTTTTCTTCCTTTTTTTCTTTTTTTGCTCGGATCGAATGGACACACATTAAAGTTTAAATTACTCCCCTCCCCCCCCCCCCCCTCGGGTCCTTCCGGTCGATCCACTGTTCAGTTCATTGGTAGTGTGTACTGGAACTGCCTGTCACCTGATGTCCGCTCCATCACAATTCCTTCTGTATTTAAGAAAGCAATTACAAACGATATCTTAAACTCTCTTACCCTCTCCTAAGATCTCAAAGACACATAACTGTCAACATTCCCTCAACCCTGGAACCTTTGGATCCGCTGCATTATTTTCATGAAAAATTCATCAAATTCAAATTCGTTACTTGTAGTACTCCCTCATTGATTTGTTTCCGTCTTCTCTTTGTGCCTTGTTAATGATTGTATTTTCCTCTTCCTCCTTTTCTTATATCGCCACCTACATCATTTTGCGAAAACTGTGGCAATATGCCCAGTGAGAAGGCAGATTTTGCCTGTGCTTCTGGTGAAGTAAAATAAAGCTAAACAAACAAACAACTCGATCTACGGACAGAACTGTTTCGGCCCCCTTTGTGGACTTATCAGCGTGGCACAGAGAAAACTGGCCGACACTGATAGCAATGAAAAATAAATTTTCTAAAGCCAGATATAAACCAGGTAGGTTGCCAGAGTACTCAAACTGACTCAAGTTGAAATTAGGTGGACAGAATCCACAACTCGATTGGTAGTGCTCTTCTCCACTTAGCTGCATGGTCTTTACCGTACATGTACTTAGGCTAGATCATGTTCCTACTGAATTACTTTGTGATCGGTTCAAAAATCTCGACACCTGTTTTCATGTTTTTGTACACTTCAGATAACGGCACGAACTGCATCGATCACAACGAATGTCAGAATGGCGGCCATGATTGCCATGACAACTCGATGTGCTCCAACACGGTGGGAGGTCATAATTGCTCATGTAACCCAGGTTATGAAGGTCCAGGTACCTACTGTTCAGATGTGGACGAGTGTGCACGTCATCTTCACGACTGTTCGTCGGATGCCACTTGTCAGAACAACATTGGTAGCTTCAGTTGTTCATGTAATTCAGGATACAAGGGTAATGGAAAGAGTTGTGTGGATGTTGACGAGTGCCTGAAATCACCGTGTGACGAGAATGCCAACTGTACGGACACCGTTGGAAGTTTTACTTGTGCATGTAAACCTGGTTATACAGGAACAGGAAAGTTCTGTGTGGACATAGATGAATGTTCGAGTTCCAAGGACAACACGTGTCACAGTGATGCAACATGTTCAAACAAAAAGGGTTCCTACATTTGTACATGTAATAGTGGTTTTCACGGCGATGGCATAAACTGCACAAACATCCATGAATGTTCCAATTCATCAACCTGCACCTCGAACTCTACCTGCACAGATAATGTCGGTTCGTATACATGCAAGTGCGATAGTGGTTTCTCAGGTGATGGGATTTCGTCATGTTCTGATGTGAACGAGTGTTTGGTGACAACCTCTTGCCATGCTGATGCAATCTGCACGAACAGTGAGGGAAAGTTTGATTGTAGTTGCAAACCGGGTTACAGTGGAGATGGACAGCAGTGTACTGAAATAAATGAATGCTCAACTTTCGCTCACAACTGCCATTCTGATGCTATCTGTAGCAACAGTGCAGGAAACTTTACTTGCAGGTGCAATAATGGTTTCTTTGGCAATGGAGAGACATGCGAAGACAAGGATGAATGTGCTCCTGGAGCTGTACCAGTGTGCAGTGTAAACTCTAAATGTGACAACGTTCCTGGTTCTTTCCATTGTAATTGCCTTACTGGCTACTTGAAGGATGGAGTATCTTGCGTGGATATCGATGAATGTACTAATAGCTCTTACACTACCAACTGTCCAACTCAGTCAACGTGCTCAAACACCAAAGGAAGCTATGTGTGCCTCTGTCATCAAGGATATAAAGGTAAATTCATTTTGATGTAGGTTTTCCGACACCCACGGTCAACTGGGTACTCGCTACTCGGAGTGAGGGTAACATGGATGCAGCTAACGAGGTTCGCCCCCTTGTCGGGCATTGGTTGTGAGAGTCACCACATCACCCTCACCGATAGGCGCTGCATCTGCCACCCTGGTATCACAGGCATGGTGATAACCTGCCACCCTGGTATCACAGGCATTGTGGTAACCTGGCACGGGCGAAACTTCCTACAGTCCATTCATTGGAAACTGGCGCCCGAACTTTTTGGTGTCTCCCACACATACCGTATTTTCTCTAATAAGAGCCCGGGGTTCTTGTTTTCTCAGTGACAGCTCTGCCCGCGCTACTATTAGAGACTGGGCTCTTATTTTTTCAACTATCAAGCATCAAGCCAACTCCAGTCAACACAGGCATAAACTGACCATATCAAGACTGATTTTGCAACCCTAAACTCAGGAATATTGTCAAAATAGCTGTTTCACAATAGCATTGGCGCCAGGAAGGAACCAATTGTGACCTGCGCTACTATTAGAGACGGTGCTCTTATTATTTCAAACCACCCTCACCCCGGGTCATTATTGGAGACTGGGCTATTATCGGAGACCTGGGATTTTATTAGAGAAAATACGGTAGTTGCAGATATCGTGAAAACAACAGTACATCCTGCATTGTGTGACCTGTGCAATTACTCCTTGCCACATTTGAGGCCACAAAAGTCCAAGAACAGGGAAATAGAAATTCAGCCAGGTTTTACAAAATTAGGACAGGTATGCCATGGCAAAATGGAGAAGCAGATCCAAATCCCAGATTTTTGAGATTTAAAGTGGGCTTTTGATCCTCAATTCGGCCCAAATCCGACTTTTGAAAGCCAGCGGGACAGTTTCCGATGAATGGACTGTAAGCTGGTTGTGTTTCTCAACGCAATTGTATAGACGTTTTTAATGCGGACGTGCTAACTTTGCTTTACTTTGTTGTATTGAAATCATGAAAAAGTGTTTGCTTTTTGAACCTCTTCATACATTTGAGGGATTGACGAGGGGAAGTCAAGAGATCACATTGATTTTACCACCAGCCCCAGGACTCGAATGAAGGCACTTCGCCTTTTGAAATTCCTTACTGAAGTGAATGAAGCTGGCAGCTCATGCACAAATGTGATGCAAGTACTCCACATGCATGTACGGCACAGTAGTATAACTTAGTGTACAGTAGACCGTGCTAACCTTGTACATACATGCAGTCGTGCGATATGATGTGAAAATGAGTCTGAATTCATTGATGTGAAATAGCTGCCAGGCCCAATTTGACGCCCATGTTCTGGGCCTTCATTAAAACGCTTCCGCTCAGAGCCTTATTGCGGGCTCTTACGGTGCTTCCAGACAGTACGGAAACCATGGCGATCACATTTCCCGGTTTTTGTTGTTATGTTGCCGTGCCGTCAAACAGGAAGGAATTCATCACTCCTGTCTGCAACTACTGCACCACCGACCACGAACGGAACAGATAGCGGTAAGTACTCAGAAGCAGTGCTGTAAAATGACTACTCCCTGTAGTCAAATGCCATGGCCAGCAATCGAGGACATCTGAGAGTTGTAATTTTTGCACTCCTCCGAGGTGTGATTTTTGGCGTGCTGGGCCAAGCACAAGGAAGCCATCTGCAAACGAAACTGAAGAAAATGGTTGTTTGATGATCCTTTGGTGTAATCTTTGTTTCTAGTCGAAGCTACAGTCAAATCTGTCGTAAGCGACCGCCCCTTGGTGCAAGAAAAAGCGGTCGCTTACGGCAGATGGTCTCTTACGGCAGATGTATGGTAAATCCGGCATACCAGGTATTATGCTTTCATGTACTCAAATCGACGAGAATAATGTGATTTTTAATATCATTTTTATATTGGATATTCAACGACGACCATACTCATAGTACGCGTATGCGACACGGCAGTAGATCGACGCTGCCCGGACTTGAGAGCTACAGCACAGCCTCAGTACACATGGTACAGGCCAGCCGCCAGTCGATCGCACTTGCAAGACAGCGCATTTTCACACTTTGCAGTTGCCAGCGCACTGGCAAGTACAGTTTCGCACCTGACTGAACCTGTGTCGCGGTCGCTTACAGCAGATTTGAATGCAGCCACCGTGCATGAAATCGCGGTCGCTGGTCGCGCACAGCAGATGGTCGCTCTGGACAGATCAGTTTGTATGTGAAACCGTCGGTGCACGGAAAATCGGTCGCTAACGGTAGATGGTCGCCTACAGCAGAGGTCGCTAACGGCAGATTTGACTGTAGTTGCTGTTTGGAGCAGAAACGCTGAAATTGACTATTTTCTGCATGTACTTCAGGCATGCAGCCTCACTCGTATTTTAGCTCTTTTTCTGGAATGGATGCTGCTCTGCGACCCTTGGTGAACATTTCCTGCGCTCATGGAGCAGTTGAAAAGGACGACTGGTATGTGTGGTTCCTGGTTTGAAAGTGGAGAGTCTACTGTTGTGCCTTGAAAAAGGAATAGAGAGCGATAACGGCACGTCTGTAGCTTATTTTTGAGTGCTCTTCGTACATTTTTGATTGTGATAGAAAATTCTCAGACCAAAGTCAGACCAAATTCAGCGCGAAGATGGCCGTACAGTTTTCTTGTGGATTTTTTAGTTGTTTCATCTCGTATCTATATCAGTATCGTGATGGTGAAGTGGAGAGGGTGATTTTCTCCCTCTAGGCTTCGTTCGGCCGACTTTGCTTCGTCCTCGTTGAAAAGTGATCCTGAAAAAAGGTCGATTCGCAAAATTGTGTTGATTTTCAATATAGGTGATGACATGCGATTGCTGGCTATGCGTACCGAGAAAAGAGAAAGTTACTTTCGCAAATCACTGCAACTTCGCGTCCAAGTTTTCGAAGTTTCGAGCTTTGTTTCTGTACTCATTCCCAGACTCGAATTTTCTTTCCAACTTTCGCGTTGCTAAACGTCCTTATTATTATAGAAATGATTGTTCTGTGTGTATGCTGACACTCAATTTGTGTGAATTCTTTTCAACACGACTCCAAGTTGTGGTTGGTTTTGTGACGGAGCCTAAGGAGTAGGTGCATGCATCAATTTGTTCAAGTGAGGAGATTCAAGCGTGCTGCACATGTCCTTCAAGTATGCAAAATAGAGAAAGGCCGCGAATAATTAAAATTTAATCAAAAATGTAGAAGAAGAAAAGAGTACCAAGGAGCGACAAGTTGCGCTATATTATCCACTGAAACCACCAGTTAATTTACAATCAGCTCATGCGATAACATTGCACGACACTGACCAACGGTACTGACGTTCTACACCTGACTAGCAGATTGTACATTCACTAGTAGTATTCCTGGATATTCTAGCGTAACTTGTAACTCCTTAGTCCTCTTTTCTTCTTGTAAATTAATCCTTGGCACTGAGTCTAATTTTAAAATATATATATTTGATACAATTTCCATGCCGTTTTATTCATTAATGACTTTTATATGTACCATTTCTGTGCGAAACTGCAGTATACAAAGAACTAACTGGCTATCACTTTTGTTCCGGTACCCAAACTGTTCTCATGGCGGTCGGTCATAGAGTTGACTATGCAACCGCCGCGCAAACCTGCAAACGGCACAATGGCGATGTCCTCAGCGCAGCGACATTCAATGCAAAGTGTACGCTTGGCCACGTGGGTCCTGCCTGGTTGAGCGGCAATGGCTATACAAGAGCTGACAAACGTAGAGTAGAGTACTCTACTCAGGGATTTGGATTTTTTTCAACCCAACATTTGGATGCTATATGTGAAATGTGTAAGTTACTTATTGCCTGCTGTCCAGCATAGCAAGTTGCCCTCGTTTCTGAGGGAGGGGAGGTGGTCCGAGTACGACGAAACGAACGATGTTCGTTTCAGAGATGACAAAAACTTTTGCAACGGTCCCTTAGTTTCTCTCATACTAGTACAGTCAAAGAAGGCCTTAGGCCTGTGGGAATGCCCTATTAAAGATTTAACGAGAGAGCTTGGAAGCTCAGGGCCCTATGCTATGCTTTTTTGCCTTGATGACCTAGACAAAAAAAAGCATAGGGATGTTATAAATTCTTTAAAAAAATCCTTTTTTTAAAGACATAACCTGGGATTCGAACCCGCACTATCGCGCGCCCTGCATGCATCCCCCGATACACTTCGCATACATACTAATTCTTCCAAGTTGTTTCACATTGTGATCTTGCATTTGAATGCCCTATTTGAATATGCATTGTGGCCAGCCGTCTTTGATGGCACGGTACGGTAGGGGATAGGAACGGGACAGGTACGATCGAGGGTAATACGACACCGTCTCCCGTACCGTACCATCAAACACAGCTGGCCACATACAGCCGCCCGCAATATTCAAATAGGGCTTTCAAACGCAAGATAATAACGTGAAGCAACTTGGAAGAATGGGTATGAATGCGAAGTGTATGGGGGAATGCATGTAGGGCGATAGTGCGGGTTCGAATCCCAGGATATGCCAGAAAAAATAGGAGAATTCAAAAATGTATAACATTCTATGCTTTTTTGCCGCCAGATACGGATAGCGCCAGGCGTGACACAAACAAACACACAAACAAACACCAAATTAAAGCTGTGTGGACCCTGGCTAGCGCCAGACGTTACTGAAGTAACGTCTTCTGCATAGCTACGGGAATAAATATTAGAACAATGTCTGTCTCGTTGTCCAGGAAACGACCAATCAGCGACATTCCCGCCAAGGGCCTTATCAGAGTTTAAAGCCCGCTCAATCGTTATTTTACAACTTTTGATGACTCGTCGAGGGCCTTGGATTAGTTTAAAGCCCGCTGAATATACTCTAAACTGGTGCGTACAACTCCCTGTATGGTGTAGTACGGTGCAGGTAATGAACTCTGCATAAAATGTACGGTGTACTACTAAAAGCTACGCATTTCAGAAGTGTGTACGGTGTTTGCCTCCCATATTCGTTCATCTGTACGACTTTCCTTTGTCAACAGCTTGCGAAAACCTATAAACACCGAAGATCGAAGTCATTAGAAGTATCGACAAGGGGCTCTCAAAACCCCTAAATAGCTCCACAAGCTATGAATAAGAATGAAGCTCGCAATAAGAGCCCAGCATTTCATTTGCTTCTATTCTACTTTTAGTAGTCCTAAGTGGTGCTGAGTTACCATAACTTACCAGAAGAAAATATTCTTTCATACCACACCAAGTCTCTCTGCACACAAACCACAAACCTACCCAATTTACTGGTACACAAGCATGATGGAAGTGAGATAATGCATGTAACCTCGTTCTAAAATAGTTAGTGCATGGCAGGGAGGGTCTTATGGCTTGTTTGTGCCCTTCAGGGTAGCCCTCGGGCCTACGACCCTCAGGCTAATCTGTCGGGCACTAACAAGCCCTCCCTGCCATGCACTAACCTATAAAAATAATAATAATAATAAATAAATAGGGCTCAAACGGTCACGGTTTACCCCGAACGGTTAACTGCTAAGCTAACGGTCGGTTTAACGGTTATAACCTATAAGCCTTGGCAATCCTGCGGACTCGTTTTTAACCGTATATTTGACTATACTCATTCAAAAAATGTACCCTATTCAGTACAACGCACACATGTACATTCTCTTGCATGCTCATTCACACATATTCTCACACCAAGAAACCAGATATGACCGAGTTGACAGCCCAGAAATTGCGTACTCGTGCGAAAGCCTGCGAAAGTGCATACTTTGCAACGACCTGATACTTGAAAAATTTACTGAAAAGTTACTGCGTAACCGTTATCTTTATCGGTTAACCGTTAATTCTTCGTAACCGGTCTGCAACCGGTTAATCGGACTAACCGTTTGAGACGCGGGCCTATAAATAAACCTGTGCTAACATATGGGCCAGTGCATGTGTGGAATTGTCTGCGGGGCAACCCATTTCGTTCAGAATTTCGAGAAAATCGCTCTCTGAAAGAAGATTTCTCTGTGTCATGATATTTTCACCGGGCTCTGGAAACTTACATGAGTGTAGCTCTAAACTGCAACGCCACTGTCAGAGATAATAACGAAGAGTATGCTGTGCTTTCTGTTCATATCGTTTTGACTTCAGCTTGTGAACGCACTGCGGGAGATAATATCGCCAGCATAACAGCGGACGGTTATGTCGTTTGTAACCCTGGATATGTCTACCCCCATAGTCAACCAGTGTGCGAAGGAACGGCACAGGTTTTCTCTTGTGTTTGTAAGTATAGCGATGTGATGCTTCCCTGACATGATTCTTCTTTCAATATAAGCCCATTGCGCATCGCCAAATATGGATGGTATGAGGAATGCATGTGAGTACACTGGGATCAGGAATGCACTGTTTAACACCCCCAGATGACCATGCCCAGGTGGCTGTCTGGGGGGTGTTTAGGGTGCAAATTACGTCATTGCGCAATGGGCTTATTGCTAATGATGTCATCATCTGGCACAGCTCAAACAGACGTAGTTGAAATACATGCAAAGTAGAGAATACTTGCAGACAGTCTTCTCCTGTTTCCTGTTGCAGTGCGTGCATTTCTTTGTACGCCTGCACGTAAGGCTCGCTTGCATGCAGTGTGATTCCGAAAGGTATGCCAAATAGATTCCCAAAAGTAAAATGCTACGTGTCTTATCTAGCTTGATTTCACAGCCGTTTAACCCTCTGTGCCCGAATCTCGAGAGAAATGTTTTCAAAAACAAGCTGAAATCCTCATCACAAGGAAACTCGTGTCTACTGTAACACCGGAAAGTCTAACGACCAAAAGGTTTAACGTTTTTGTAATTTCGGCATGATTAGGTGCAGAAAGTTTAACGATGGCTACCTGGCCACCCATCTGTATGCGCATCTTTACACAGACATCTAGCGATAACGTTTTTTCAAATAACGAAAAATAATTGGTCGTTAAAACGTTAACTTTGTGACTCGTTAGACTTTCCGGTTTTGCAGCAGTTGCGAAGCTTTAAGACTAAGCTTAGCAGTGAGGCGTCGTTTGATAAGGTGGAATTAATAAGCACTAAGCGCTGAATAGCCGAAAACGGATGCACTTCAATTCTTCTTGTAAGTTGTGTGTGTGGCAGGCACGGCAGTGGTCAAACGGGGAATTTCCCTGTGACTCATTGTTGTGTGATTCATGGTTGCATCGCGCATTTGACGTGGAAAACGTTGAGCAAAGATGCGGGAACCGACGATTTTTGTGGAGTTGGTTGCAGAATCTCGCTCGTGCGCGATAGTTCGGCGCGATTCTGTTTGTCTTGTTGGGTATCTAGTGGCAATATCTTAATAGAGGAGATTCATGGCATTCCGAAGAGACCGAGGTGAAGAGATTCCAAAACCGAGTGATTTTAGATAAACCTCAAGAGCATACTGTGACAGTTGCGCGATTCAAAGCCTATCCCGTTGGAATCCTTGGAAATTGTAGCCGGACTGAAGGTGTTCAGCTCTATTCGTTTTATCATTCGAGGTCTAACATTAGCTGTACTTATATTTGCACAATGTGTACTTTCCATGCTGATACCGTGTTGTCCGGAGTATTAGCCGCACTATAAAATCACCACTATCTGACCCTGAATTGTCATTGCAGCTTATCTACGATGGTCAAATTAACTATGGCAAACGAAGCAGATGTTTGCAGCTCGCGACAGTAAATCTGGGTCAGGCTTTTAAAACTCATTATAAACCAGTGGAGTTTATACTCCGGAGAATACGGTATTGCTTTCCATGCAAAGATACTTTGAAGTTGAATCTTCCAGGCATCACTCCTAGATCAGAAAATTGATAGCACCTCCGCCCCTCTAAGAGCTAGGGTATGAAATGGCCTGTGATCAGTTCCAAATCTGGCTATGCGTTTTCATGTTCTTGTACACTTCAGATAACGGCACGGACTGCATCGATCACAACGAATGTTACAAAGGCGGCCATGATTGCCATGACAAAGCGATGTGCACCAACACGGCGGGAGGTCATAATTGCTCATGTGACCCAGGTTATGAAGGTCCAGGTACCTACTGTTCAGATGTGGACGAGTGTGCACGTCATCTTCACGACTGTTCGTCGGATGCCACTTGTCAGAACAACATTGGTAACTTCAGTTGTTCATGTAATTCAGGATACAAGGGTAATGGAAAGAGTTGTGTGGATGTTGACGAGTGCCTGAAATCACCGTGTGACGAGAATGCCAACTGTACGGACACCGTTGGAAGTTTTACTTGTGCATGTATACATGGTTATACAGGAACAGGAAAGTTCTGTATGGACATAGATGAATGTTCGAGTTCCAAGGACAACATGTGTCACAGTGATGCAACATGTTCAAACAAAAAGGGTTCCTACATTTGTACATGTAATAGTGGTTTTCACGGCGATGGCATAAACTGCACAAACATCCATGAATGTTCCAATTCATCAACCTGCACCTCGAACTCTACCTGCACAGATAATGTCGGTTCGTATACATGCAAGTGCGATAGTGGTTTCTCAGGTGATGGGATTTCGTCATGTTCTGATGTGGACGAGTGTTTGATGACAACCTCTTGCCATGCTGATGCAATCTGCACGAACAGTGAGGGAAAGTTTGATTGCAGTTGCAAACCGGGTTACAGTGGAGATGGACAGCAGTGTACTGAAATAAATGAATGCTCAACTTTCGCTCACAACTGCCATTCTGATGCTATCTGTAGCAACAGTGCAGGAAACTTTACTTGCAGTTGCAATAATGGTTACTTTGGCAATGGAGAGACATGCCAAGACAAGAATGAATGTTATGGAGCTGTACCAGTGTGCAGTGTAAACTCTAAATGTGACAACGTTCCTGGTTCTTTCCATTGTAATTGCCTTACTGGCTATTTGAAGGATGGAGTATCTTGCGTGGATATCAATGAATGTACTAATAGTTCTTACACTACCAACTGTGATGCTCATTCAACATGCTCAAACACCAAGGGAAGCTATGTGTGCCTCTGTCATCAAGGACATAACGGTAAGATTATCTTGAATTAAGTGTTGGACATGTGCGAGCTATGATCAGGAAAAAAGACCTGAAGGTCGCACAGAAAAATAATTTTTTTATCGCATGCACCCCACACACCCATAGCCATTGGGGTTTGCAATGCGTATTTCACTGGAAATTATCAAGTCACTTGGATGGGATTGATTGAGCGAACAGAACTCGTCTGCAGGCAGCATGCCAACCAGTAGAAAGAAATGAAATGGTTCTTTCCGTTGTAATTGCTTTAGCGGCTTCTTGAAGGATGGAGTATCTTGCGTGGATATCAATGAATGTACTAATAGCTCTTACACTACGAACTGTCATGCTCATTCAACATGCTCAAACACCAAAGGAAGCCATGTGTGCACCTGTCATCAAGCACACAATGGCAAAGCTATTTAACTCAGACTTGTTTGGTACTCTAAGGGGCATAGCTATCCATCTTTTAAACGAAGAGCAAAAGTTTCGTCTATGGGTGGGTGAGCCAAGGGGAGTTTCGTTTTGGAAATATTGATATGAGAGACATCAAGGCATTCTTTCTGTCAAGTAAATCTATTTTTTGGGTGGGGGAGGATCCTAATTAAACTTTTTCGTTGAAATTATCGATATGCCGGATAGCCGCTAGCTGCACTCATATCTCTCTTATTTGGGGCAATCCAGGACCGGGTACTGCCTATACATTTGCACTTTGCTGCGCCAGTAACTCTGAATCGCATGCGTCTCAGTGGGAAAGGGGCAGGGACCTGGCAAATGACGTCGCTATTCCCGCAAGAATTGACAAACGAATAGTTATTATTGTTCCAGTAAGTCTCCTCGACAGGGTGCCAGGCAGGCCACAACTTGGAAGTCCGGATACGGTTCATATGGGGGTACCGTTTTTTCCGGAGTGTAAGCCGCTCCCTCATTTTTTCTACGAGCAACAGACGTCTACCCTACTTATCACCGTTAATTTGATCAGCGGAGTATAAGCCACACCCCCCCCCCCCCCCTTTTTGGGAGGTGAAAATTGAGTGTGCAAAGTGCGGCTTATACGGTATCTTCTGTAAGGTGATCCTTGATCTTTCATCCTCGATCGTGGTGGCGTTCCAGCGGATACGGAAACACTCTACCTCTAGCCGAGTCTCACGGGAATCGTGAATGTGTTCTGCCTGGCGCGGTTCTTGTGTTCTTGATGTGTTGAATGGTAGGCCTGGCGCCATACTATAAACGGGCACAATTGAAAACCAGACGCTTAGGGAAATGCTGTTTAGTCTGGCGCTCTCTTGTTGCATTCAGGGGCGTAGCCGGTCCCCCTTTTAGGAAGGTGCAAGACCGCTCACGGTATATCCGCCGGTCCCCCTTTTAGGAAGGTGCAAGGCCGCTTACAGTATATCCGCTGGTCCCCCTTTTAGGAAGGTGCAAGGCCGCTTACGGTATATCCGCCGGTCCCCCTTTTAGGAAGGTGCAAGGCCGCTTACGGTATATCCGCCGGTCCCCCTCTTTAGGAAGGTGCAAGACCGCTTACGGTATATCCGCCGGTCCCCCTTTTAGGAAGGTGCAAGGCCGCTTACGGTATACCCGCCGGTCCCCCTTTTAGGAAGGTGCAAGGCCGCTTACGGTATACCCGCCGGTCCCCCTTTTAGGAAGGTGCAAGGCCGCTTACGGTATATCTGCTGGTCCCCCTCTTTAGGAAGGTGCAAGGCCGCTTACGGTATATCCGCCGGTCCCCCTCTTTAGGAAGGTGCAAGGCCGCTTACGGTATATCCGCCGGTCCCCCTTTTAGGAAGGTGCAAGGCCGCTTACGGTATATCCGCCGGTCCCCCTTTTAGGAAGGTGCAAGGCCGCTTACGGTATATCTGCTGGTCCCCCTCTTTAGGAAGGTGCAAGGCCGCTTACGGTATATCCGCCGGTCCCCCTTTTAGGAAGGTGCAAGGCCGCTTACGGTATATCCGCCGGTCCCCCTCTTTAGGAAGGTGCAAGGCCGCTTACGGTATATCCGCCGGTCCCCCTCTTTAGGAAGGTGCAAGGCCGCTTGCGGTATATCTCCACCTTTAAAGGCATGGGGAGATATTCGACTATATAGCCAGTCTCAGCTATAAAGCCATGGGCTTCATAAATGGGAGGTGCACATGTGTAGGACGGCTGGTGCATGTCATTCATGGTCATTAAGAGCATGCTGAACCTAGGTCGAAATTGTTAGGGGGTGCACATGGGTTGGGATCCGCATCCGGTGCATCAACCCCCCCCCCCCCCCCTGAATTGTCGAAAAGTCAGTGTAAAATGCAGCAAGGTCGAATCATATTGACCTATGCACAGACCGTCACCATTTGCACATTTTAAGACAATTCAATAACATGAACTGAGTGCTGGTCATATGTGCTCATGTTTTTGTACACTTCAGGTAACGGCACAAACTGCATTGATCACAACGAATGTAAGGCGGACAGCCATGAGTGCCATCCTAATGCCATGTGCTCCAACACGGTGGGAGGTCATAATTGCTCATGTGACCCAGGTTATGAAGGTCCAGGTACATACTGTTCAGATGTGAACGAGTGTGCACGTCATCTTCACGACTGTTCGTCGGATGCCACTTGTCAGAACAACATTGGTAACTTCAGTTGTTCGTGTAACCTGGGATACAATGGTGATGGAAAGAGTTGTGCGAATGTTGACGAGTGCCTCAACTCTCCGTGCGATACGAATGCCCAGTGCACGAACACCAAGGGAAGTTTTACGTGCGTATGCAAGCCCGGCTACAAAGGTATCGGTGTGTTCTGTGCGGACATAAACGAGTGCCTGAACAAGCCCGACAACAACTGCCACCAGGAGGCGACATGCAGCAACGTGCCCGGGTCGTTCACCTGCCGATGCCGGGACGGTTATGCCGGGGACGGCCGCTCCTGTCAGGACATCAACGAGTGCATGCAGGCCGGCCCGCCCGTGTGCGCGCCCGTCGGCGCGAACTGCACCAACACGAGGGGCTCCTTCGAGTGCAAGTGCGCCACGGGGTACACCGGCAACGGGGTGTTCTGCACTGACATCGTCGAGTGCGTGGCGCCAGGCGATAACGCGTGCAGCGAGAACGCTCACTGCACGAACACGGCCGGCGCGTACGGGTGCTCGTGCAAGGCCGGGTTCACCGGCGACGGGTACACCTGCAGAGATGTGAACGAGTGCAGTGCGGCGTCCACGTGCGCGTCCAACGCAATCTGCAACAACACGGTGGGTTCGTACACATGCAGCTGTCCGTTTGCTCACGAGGGTGACGGTCACACGGTGTGCACTGACATTGATGAGTGTTTGCGTGTGGGTATCTGCGCTGGCAACGCCGCCTGCAGCAACATAGTGGGCTCCTATCGCTGTGCATGCCTGCCCGGCTTTACCGGCGACAGTCACAGCAACTGCTCGGACGTAAACGAGTGCTCGGAGGCTAGTAGCCTGCACAACTGCGACCTGGCGGTGGGCAAGTGCACGAACGAGGTTGGCGCGTTCAAGTGCAGCTGCCCGGTGGGTTACAGGGGTAACGGTACTGTCTGCGAGGATGTGAACGAGTGCATGCAGACGCCGGACGTCTGTGTCCAGGGTGCCGGCTGTGTGAACACGAACGGCTCGTATTCGTGTCCCTGTCTCGCTGGGTATCGCGAGGACGGCGCGCTGTGCACGGAAGTGAACGAGTGCTGGGAGGGAACGCACAACTGTCACGCGCTGTTCGGCGCCTGCAGCAACCTGAACGGCTCGTACGAGTGCTCGTGCCGCGAGCACTTTGTCGGCGACGGCGTGGAGTGCGCGTCCGTGGACCACTGTGTGACCAGCACGCACAACTGCAGTCGCAACGCACGCTGCAGCACTGGTGAGGAAACGACTGCAGTAACTGGGGCTACAACAACAACAACAACAACAACAACAACACCTGCAGCAGCGGGTGCAGGTGCAGCGCTGCCAGATTCTTCATTCAACTGCCAATGTCTGCCGGGATACTTTGGTGATGGCCATGTGTGCAGCATCAGCACCAACGCTAAAAGTGGTAAGGGGAAACCCCGTAACTGTTGCCATTGAACGCAACCTAGTAGATGGAGGGATCTGGCTTTGAAATAGAAATTTTCTGCTTTGGGTTATCTGTCTAGATACCTATATGGCAGCATCTTGTGGTACGTGGGCACTGTGTGTTTACTATGCAACATTCACCTGGTCTTCATGACACAGCCGATTGAAGTGGCGTTTTCTTTCTTCTTGCCAGTGAATCCCTCGCATGCGCACGCACACACACACGCACACGCACACACGCACGCACGAACACACACACCATGTGCCATGTGCCATGTATACTGTATACGCCCGTCACAAGAGAAGCACGATCACATTGATAGGACCCGACGGTGTTCCGACACACCACATGCGGTCGTCCCTCTGTGACACCAGCAAGAGAAACAGCAGCAGCAAGAAAGCAACAACGTACATAAGGAACGGTGCAGAGCAGTTGTCAGTCGTTTGCGTGCACACAAACTCACATGCACAAACACACACACACACCATGTATGTACCATGTATACGCCCGTCGCAAGAGAAGCACGCAAATCTGCAAATGCACTGGATGTGCACCCACAGATTTTCTCTTATAGCAACGATAGCGAACAAGATCTGAATGAGACAGATCAAGACTTGCGCCAGATAACTGTCTAATCCACACAACTGGCGAAGCCATGTGAATCGACCACCAATGCACACCTGGTCTACACCACACGGAGTACATCGGCATAAAACGACCAAGACAGTTATCTATGCACACCCTACACTTGCTGGGGTAACCAGTATAGACAGCATGCTGCTTTGATAGAAGCAGACATTAGATGCACTGGTACCTTGAAGTGGAATTGGACACACACACACACACGCACACACCTTTTGACCTTGACCTTTTGACGCCCATCGCCGGAGGCGATGATAGCAATGCTACGGCAGAAGCCATAGCAACTTGTGCTGGGATTGCACCATTCAACAGCTTGCAAGGCTGAAGAATTGACCATCACTATTCAGCCTGGTCTACACCATACAGCTATTTGAAGTGACTTTTTCTGGCCAGTGAATCACTATTTTTTGGTCTTTTTCTTTTTTCTTTTTTTTCTTTTTTTTCCCACACACATCACACCGGCATGCACTGGCTGTTGGTAACCACCCAGGAAAATGAAAGAAAAGCCAGAAGAAAGATGTATGTGAAAAATACACCTTTTGACCTTGACCTTTTGACGCCCATCGCCGGAGGCGATGATAGCAATGCTACGGCAGAAGCCATAGCAACTTGTGCTGGGATTGCACCATTCAACAGCTTGCAAGGCTGAAGAATTGACCATCACTATTCAGCCTGGTCTACACCATACAGCTATTTGAAGTGACTTTTTCTGGCCAGTGAATCACTATTTTTGGTCTTTTTCTTTTTTCTTTTTTTTCTTTTTTTTCCCACACACATCACACCGGCATGCACTGGCTGTTGGTAACCACCCAGGAAAATGAAAGAAAAGCCAGAAGAAAGATGTATGTGACCATAATCGTCGACAAACGCACGCACGCACACGCACACACACACACACACACACACACACACACACACACACACACACACACACAGTGTGCCACCGTTCGCGAGACGAACATATTTTTCTCAACGCCGTTTCATTGTTTTGCTAGTGTAGTTTTCGAACATCTTGCCCGTGTCCTTTAACCGCTGTGTCCTTTAACCGCTTTGTCTTTTAACTGCTGTGCATGGTAACTAGGTCAGCAGGATTCCGGAGCCCAGGCAATGTTCATCACTGGCGTGGGTGCTCTGACCTGCGTTGTCGTGATCATGCTGGCCGCTCTGTTTGCCTACAAGTCCGAGACCAGAAAGCGTCCTGGCATTCTGCAACATCCAATGTCGGACATGTCCTCGCTTAGCAGGTGAGAGACGCTAGCTAACGTAGCCCTGCGTTCAGTGGCATCACTAGTAGTACACGAGTAGTACATGAAAGCCAGAGTGTGCAGCTCGCATGGGTTGCTGTCACGGCGGAATTCCGTGATTACACATCATTTTAGTGATGTAGCGCGTACAAGCAAGATTCAAGCAGGTCTCTTTCTGCACAACTGCAGCTCAGTTGTACGCACTACGCCATTTCCCGTCTCAAATCTCCGGGAAGTATGATATAATGACGGATTCCTGCCCTAGAAAAAGCCTCCAAGCTGCACATTCTGGTTTTCATATACTTTTCGTGGCATATACAGTAAAACCTGTGACTAGCAACCACCCCTTGGGGCCAGAGAAAGTGGTCTTTAGTGGGAGGTGGTCCTTAGTTAGAGGTTTTCACCGTACAACCATACACGAATGTGAGACTGTCCATGACTGGTGAAGTGGTCGCTAGTCACAGGGTATACTATGGTCCAGTGCTGTTGTGGGCTGTACTCTTGACAGTGCTGTTGGTCGCCGAAAGAACTGGGGGGTCAGCCTCCTAGCCTAGACCGTTCTTATCTTCATGCACTACAGTCTATGCCCCGTTGAGTCACCGTGTATACATTTGTATGCTCTGTGCTTGGTGAAATTCTAGCCTGGTCGTTCTTCGGTGCTCCGTTCTTCGGCGCCCGACTGTACTGTACCGGGAGGACGATTTTCCAATACCGTAATGGCGTGCGTGCAGTGCGTTGAGTGGGTGGGGTAATCTCTGCCGACGATGGCTTCATTATCCCATACACTACTTTTCTACAAGTGGGTTCTGATGAAAGGTTATCACAAACAAAAACTAGGGAAGTGTGTTAGTATCGCGATTCTCATAAGTTCCTGGTTCGACTGCTGGAGGTGGCAGTCAGTTTTTTCTTCAGACTTTTCCCGTTTGCCTCTTTCCCTCAAACCGATGAATACACCAATTATTTCACGGCACAAAGCAGCAAGGCAGCAATGAGGCATAATTATGGAATGGCAGGAGTGGGTGCGAGGCAGGGGTTGAGCACTTCCTCACATTTTGCATGCATCGTATTATTCATAAGCACACGAAGCACACAAGCCATATAGTTTTGACGAGGCCTTTCACTTTTTCTTTTTTCAAGTCGAATACAATGGTGATTAACAAGGTAGCAAGCATGTCCTTAATACCGGCCCTTTGGCCGTCAGGACATTGACAAAATAGCACTTTAAAAGATAGCGCTAGTGGCTCCAACTACATATTTGGCCGTCAGAACATTGACAAAATAGCACTTTAAAAGATAGCGCTAGTGGCGCCAACTACATATTTGGCTGTTTGTGCCAAAGAAGTATGTGCGAAAGTTGTCTCCCTTTTGATCCCGTGGTCCTCACTGTTTAACCCATTGAGGGCTACAGGGCCTTTCATCTGAGGCTCTGAAGAAAATGCTAAAAATAGGGCCAATATACAGCTCCACAACTTCAAAGTCTAGGCAACTAGGTTGTTGAACTCTTGGGAAATGTTGACCAAGGCTATGATCATCACGCTGACCAACTCGATATAGTTCCCAGAAAAAGGAACAAAGTGCTATATGACACGTAAGTTCATCCAAATTGCGTAAAATACGAAAAAGTCGCCAATTTGAGTTGAATCACCGGGCGAAAAAGAAGAAAAAAACGTATCCACGCGGGATTCGTACCCGCAACCTCTCGTACTGAATGCAGGAAATGTACCGCTCGACTCTGGGGTCTCTTCCAGCCATACGCTGGAACACGGAACTTAGTACAGTAGGATAGCCTGTCAGCCCGAGTATATTCGGGCTCAGCGCCCTGACGTCATTTTGAATCCCGAATATATTCGGGCTCAGCAGTCAATGGGTTAATATGTGTTACTAGTACCGTAAAATCCCGCCAGAGCGCCCCTACCTCCTCGACGCTTCAGGTGGGGAGGGGCGGATGGGCGAGTCCTACTTGCCGCATTCAGTGCTACATGAAAAAGTACTCACCCTACGAAAAAACTGTTCGTGCATCTCGTACACCGACCAAAGGTCAAGAGCCAGGAGTCGTACAGACCCGTCAAAACTCAGGGTTTGTGCGATTCTTGGTCAAGAGGTTGGGCACTGTTGCGTACATTTCCAACGGGGGTCGAGTACGCGTCTGCAGTACAGTACGGCATCACAGACTGTGACAGAGTCATACGAGGATACAATCAATCACGTCCCTGACAAGAAGTCAGGGAAGGGCGGATAGGAGAGACGGGGCGCTCTGGCGGGATTTTACGGTACCGTTAAATCCCACCAGAGCGCCCCCGTCTCTCCCATGCGCCCCTCTCGGACTTCTTTTCAGGGAAGTGAGAATCCTCGTATGGCTCTGTGAAGTGTGATGCCGTACCGCACTGCAGACGCGTGCTCGCCCTTGTTGGAAATGTACGCAACAGTTCACACCGACTTGACCAGGGATCGCACAAACCCTGGGTTTTCATTGGTCTCCCTGCTCATTCATTACCTTCGGTCGGTGAACGAGACACACGCACATTTTTCGCAGTGCGAGTACTTTTTCATGTAGTACCAAATGCGTCACGGCACGTAGGACTCGCCCATCCGCCATTCCCCACCTGGACCTACTCGAAGGGTCGCGGAGGTAGGGGCGCTCTGGCGGGATTTTACCGTAGTACCCATTGGTTCACTATGTGTCTTTTAACCCTTTATTGGCTGGCCTATACATTGATCGAACACCGATGTTCGATGGGGTAGGCATTTTGAAATTATCGTAACTTGGTCAAATCTCGGTCTTGTGGAGAGATCTAAATATGTAGGTCGAAGAGAAAACTCTCAGCTGTCGCCTCGAACAATTTTCAAAGCGATACAATGAGCGGTTCTTGAGTTATAGCACTCGTAATGTTGGTCCCGGGGAATTTGCGCTCAGGACGCGATGCGTGGGTCAACGGCCGGGATTTTCCCTGCTTACGTCACCTGTTGACAAGACTACACCGATTCAACTTCAAAAGCAGGTTCCCGGGAGTCTCTACGAAAAAATTTGAGTTTGATACGAGCAACAGGAGTGAAATGGTGGATAGAGATAGATCTCGAGCGTGGGCCCAGCGCTGGTCGGCCTTCCCTGGCTTGCAGCGCTGGGCCAGTGCATCCCGTGGAGTCGAGTGTACGCTCATTGCGCTCCTCTCGCCAAGGCCTTTCCAGGATGCCCAAGATCGTGGAATTTGTCCAATGCAAACTAAAGTTACGTCCAATTTAGGTACAGGTTTGGCGATTGCGTGGGCCTGTTTGTATTTTAATCGGCCAATAAAGGGTTAAAGTGCTACGTTGTCAATGCTCTGACCGCCATAGTGCCGGTTATAAGGACATGCTTGCAGCCGTGTTAGGCCTCGGTCACACTACGCCAAAAATGCAGCGTCAGCGTCAGAATCACTAGCTTTTCCATGGTAACTGACGAAAACGCGGGGAAATTTGAGCGTCGGACGCAGCAGAGTCGTCTGGTGCGAGCAAATCGGTTGCGTTGGTGCTGCCGCTTGCGTGCTGCTGCATGCACTTGCATGAAAAACGGTGTCTTTTGAAAAAATAGCACACTGTACCGTACTCAATCACAGGGATTTGGTTCGCCGCACAGTGGTTTTGTGAAGTGCGTCAGGCCGCGGTGGCAACGGCAAAAATGCAAAATGCAGCGTCAAGTGTTGGAGTTTGACGCTGCGTCCAGCTTCAAACTGACCGTAGTGTGACCGAGGCCTTAATCACCATGGTATTCAACTTCAAAAATGCCTAGTCGAAACTGTGTGGTTGCTGTGCTTCGTGTGCTGATTTCTCTCAGTCTGTTTGTTCACCCATTTATATTTCTGTCTGTCTATGTGTGTGTGTGTTGAGCAATCTATATTTCTGTCTGTCTACCACTATTGTGTTTACCTGTGTCTTGCTGAACAGGAGGAAGAACGATGTCGATGAGCACCCGCCACAGCTCCAATTCAACAACGAAGCGTATGAACTGTTCCTGCAGCACGGAAGCGTAGCTACACCGACAGACGACTGCGCCACTACGGACTACGAGGAGTTTCAGCTGGCCAGAGCCGGCGCCCGCTCCCGCTCCCAGTCGCTTAGCACCAACTACACCGAGGCCAAGCCGGACAGGCAGTTCTCGCCCGACACGCCGGCCCCCGGTCAGCAAGCTGAGCAGAGCCTGCGCGGCGACCGCAGCAGCAGTGTCGGCAATCTGAGCCACGGAATGTCCAACTCCACGTCCAACCTCACCGGCGCCATGTACGACGAATGGCAAGGAAACGGCAAGCCGATCAACACGCAACAAGGCCACAAGGAATCAGGCCACCGTCGCACCAACACGTTCTACGCCATGTTCTCCTCGTTGCTCTACAGTGTGGTGGGCAAGAAGTCGAGACGGAACAGCGCCACCATTACAGTCACCTCCTCACCGCGTTGGTCGAGTACCAGCTCGCAGCACGACCTCGGCTGTCGGTACAGCGCAACGGATGAAAGACTCGTCGGCGACAACCACTCCGCCTCGACCGTGTCACTGCCTGGCGAAAGCCAGGCTGAAGACTTCGAGCAGTCTTGGACGTCAGCGGATGGCGATTTCCTCAACGTCTTCTCTCGCAGGCCGACAATGGAGGGAGGATGTAGATTGGCCAGTCCGAGAGGTTCGTCAGTTACCACCGTGCCGTTGAACGAATTCGAAGGAGACTATGGTGTGATCGATGACCTGATGAGGGCCAACTCAAACGACTGGGACCCCTGTGACGAAGAAAAGCAGTACGAGGTCGGCATAGGCGGACAACATTCTCTAGCTTTGTCCAGTGAGGATCTGATGCTGGAAAGCAGCACGGACAATGCTGAGAGCCCTGCCGCCCCCGCTCAAAACAATGACGTTCGTGCCTGGATGCATCGCACCTTCTCCAAGCGTAACCAGAAGGTCAACAAATCCAATCCCATCCCCAATGCCAAGCCCGTACCGCCGGGTGCACAAGACGACAACGGCTGCGAGCAAATTGTCGAAGACATGTACGAAATCTTCAATGTTCGCCAGGGTGGTGCCTGGAGTGATAGTTCATCCCAGCCAACAGCAGCAGCAGCGAAGGTGTCCAACGTGTATGAACTGGGAACAAACAACGAGAGTTCGGATTGTGGCTCGTGCCCATATGAGGCGTGGCAACAGGATCAAAGCGGGCAGAAGCAGCCCAGCTCGGGACGGGCCCGAACTGACGCAAGTCCCCCAGATAGCGAGAGGGGCCGGAAAGGTAGCATCGGTGACAGAAGCAGGGTCGGCCAAAGAAACAGTGTTGGGCGAAAGGTCAGCATGAGTCGCATGAAGAAGTTGGCCCTGTTCAAGCGAGCCCAGGGGGAAGCGGCAAGCGGTGCAGTAGACGGCGGCGACTCTGAGTACATGCCAATGGATGCACTGCAGGACGACGACGACCCATTTTCCGCTATGAGATCACGTTGCATGTCCTCCACCAGTTCCGCCGGCCGTTCAAAGAGCCCGTGGAACATCGACAGCGCAGTTTCCTTGGGCAAGATGAAGGATCAGGGCTTCTGGATGTCCGAGGACTCCTCTACGGTCATGGGCGGGTGCGTCACGGCCGGGCAGAGTGCGGACGAGAACTCAGTTCTCTACGAGGATACAACCGAGATGTGCAAAGCACTGTCCCAAAGCCACCCCAATCTCACCGAACCTCTGGGCAAGCCGTTCGCCTCGTGCGACAACAAATCTGTCGTACCGAAAGAGTTTTTCTTCACAGTGGAGAATGGTGGCGACATGATCCCGCTCAGCGCGTTTGAAACGACGTTGACGGCTGAGGAAGCACAGGCGTTCGCAGTCGTACTGGGCTCTGACAACCAGTTCGCCCTCGTCGACCCCCGCACGAACAAACGTTTAGCCACGGCCAGCCGCGCTCAGGCAAACAAGGCAGTGAGGGCAATAGCCGAGCAACGGCAGCAGCAGAGCGCGGCTCAGAACATCTACGACAACAACAGACTTGCAGAGGACGCCGACGCCAGAGCGCGTGCCAGAACCACCACGTTCAGCTGCAGATCGGAAGCTGCACAGGAGCACAGGCACAAGCTCTTGAAGAAGCCGAATGGCCAGTACATGTTCGTGGGCACCGGTGGTGGCGTTATGCCTGTCAGCATATTCAAGACGAAGGTGGACTACAGCCGAGCGCACTTCTACTCCGTCAGCGAGTCCGACGAGGGCGGTGTAAGCACGTATACGCTCATGCTGGAAGGCGATCGCATCGCAACGGCCACAACACCACCGCAGCAGCAGCAGCAGCAGCACGACGAGGCTAGGCCGACGCCCGACGACGGGCACGTGAACAGCAGCATGTACAATGCGTACGGTCTTCCCTCGCAGGACGATAGCAACACTGCTGAAGGCTCAGCGGTGGCAGCAGCAGGCTGGGGCCGGGGCTCTTTGGACAGTGAGCAACACGCCAGCAGGGCAGCAGCAGACGCACTCTCAAGTTCCGTCCCGGCAAAGTCAATGCAAGCCAACGGCAAGCCAGTGTTTATCGACCTCGACGGCAGCTACGCATTTAAGAGCAAGAGCGGCAGCTCTACACCATTGACGGTCTTTGGGGTTTCCTTGACCGAGTCTCAACCCGACATGTGCACCGTGGTATACACGTCCAACAAGTATGCCCTGTTCGATTTCAGTACGTCCAGCCAGCCCCTGGGCGTAGCCTCGGACGAACAAGTCCACTTGGCCGCGGAGGCGAGGCTCGCCGCATTGGCCACACAGGGCAGGCACGAGGACGATGCCGCCAGTCCTCAGAATACGGAAAACTCTTCTGTGCTGGTCACCTCCAGCGGTAACCAGGTGCCCATCTCGCTGTTCAAAACCAAGAAGCACATGGAGCTCAACACGCAGAATTGTCTTGTTACTGAAGCCCCCAGCGGAGCAATGGCGGTGTTTGATCGCAAGACGAGCGCACTGATAGGTGCTGCTTCTCCCGAGGAGATTGCTCGCGCGCAGTACGCGCTGGTGGGCAAAGCGTCGGTCAGGAAGAAGCCCACCAACAGCACGAACCCACCTCCTGCGCCGTCCAGCGGTTCCGGAAAGGCCGACGAGGACAAGCCTCGCTTCCCGCGCGTCCCGAACCACTATTCCTACGTGCGCGCAGAGAGTCTGGAGCGCAACAGCCAAATGAAAGTGGCCAGAATGTACAGCATTGGAGCGGGAGCCATGGACAGGGCGTCAGCCGTAGAGATGAGCATGGATGACTACTTCGCAGAGGAACTCGGTGCCAACAAATCTGGCACCGGGTAGTTTGAAGAGGTCTCCTCGGATGCACACCGCTTAGCTCGTGCTCTTCTCTGTCATGTCCTGACTAGACAACCACGATGCACTGTTGGATAGTGCCTTCTGCCCCTTTCCTTCCTTTGCTCCCCACACCGCTGGTTTTGTCAACGTTATTATGTCTGTGTTGCTCCCTTGTCTCTCAGATGCTCGGGGCTGCGATGAAGAAAATATTCAAATAATCCAGTATATGGCTTTCATTTTAACACGCGCAAGTGGCTGCGTAGCGAATTATCCTGCGCATGCACCACACATGCTACGCACGCACACACACACACACACACACACACACACACACACACACACGAGCAAATTAATTTTGATTCAAGTTTACTAATGGACTGACAATGCCGATTCATAGGTCTCAAGTGAGGCGGCTATTTCTAGCGCGCATGCATTGGGTATCGTTTCACACACTTCCCTATCCTTCCTCTTCCTTTGCCCGCAGTTCTCACATCTTACAAAAGTGTTATTCTCCTTTTTTTATTCCGTGTTTGTGGGTCTTCCTTTGCCTGAACTTTTTATCTTGGTTTCCTACCGTTTTTATCCCAGGGTATTTCCCTGCTGTTTTAATTATCACAGTTCTTTTTTCCTTGACTATGATTTTTCACTTTCTTACCCGACAAACGCAACTATGCAGTTCTGCAATACTCACTGTCCCTCTCTTTCTCGCTTTTACTCTCTCCCCCTCCCCTCCCCCCTCTGTCTCTCATCCTCTCTCATATGCCTTCTATACACATACCAGCTGCAGCTTGTTGCTATCAGGCAGTTTCCTGCGGAGTGTACAGTAGTAATACGGGGCAGTTTACTTTGTTTTATCAGCTGCTGAAATAGCCAAAACGAGCTCGTAATAAATATTATGTATTCTCCAAGCATGCCGTAAAAATAAGTTTTGCTGCCAAGTCTGGTTGAAATGGATTTACTAGATTTATTGCAGCGTTGTTCATGACGGGGGTACCGGGTGACGTAAGAACATTTTATCGTTTGTTGAGATTACTATATATAGTTTTATAGCCGTGTTCCTCCTACCTACTTTTACTTTCCTTTTCTTGCTAGTTAAATGAAGATTATCCGACTTCGTTTCTGCAGGCGAATTTGTGTGTGTGGGGGGGGGGGTGTGCGTGCGTGCGTGTGAGGTGTGTGGTCCTGCCATGCACGTGGGTGTGGGGGGGGGGGGGGGGGGCGTGTGTGTGTGAGGTGTGAGGTGTGTGGTCCTGCCATGCACGTGGGTGTGGGTGTAAGGAGATAGTCAGCTTGGAGACCTGAGCACTTCCGAGGCTTTCATTCTGCCTGATACTACTCTCTAGATCTACTGTATGGGAATCGATGTTTAGGCACATGTAGCTGTCTTATTTGGTAGATCTGCTGTTTTCAATCACTTGGGACACTTTGTCTAGCCTATTTGTCTTTCGTTCGTGCCATCTATCAGTTTTGTGGGGTGCCTTGACCTGTATTTGTGAGTTCTCGAGTAAAGACCCTAATTCTTGACTGGAGTCACGTCTTGAATTGAATTTGCTGGGTGAGCCCTCGTTCACGCAGTTGTACTTATCGTAATAGTCAATATCTGGTTGCTGGATGGACTAGCGGCTAGAATAGGGATGACCAAATGGTCCAAGTGTGTACTAGTACTCGTACACGATTATTGTTTCCATCATCGTGAAATGAGCGTTGTGGAATTGCAGTCGTCTGCCTTTGGCACTGAGGACATGAGGAGATTGTTACTTCTGCTCAGCATTGAAGCGATCATCAGCTCTCTTTGTTCTAATTATTGAGAGGACATACCGGCATCGCAATCAAGTAAAGATTAGTAAAGATTAGTAAAGATTAGGTGTGTGGGGGGGGGGGTGTGCGTGCGTGCGTGTGAGGTGTGTGAGGTGTGTGGTCCTGTGGGTGTGGGGGGGGGGGGCGTGTGTGTGTGAGGTGTGAGGTGTGTGGTCCTGCCATGCACGTGGGTGTGGGTGTAAGGAGATAGTCAGCTTGGAGACCTGAGCAGTGAGGATGTGAGGGCTAGTGGGTGGCATGAACAAGAGCAGGGAGTCGTAAAATACCGGGTATTTTACGACTCCCTGAACAAGAGCATGTCACTGGGTGAGGTCAGTCCCCACCTTCATGAACAAGAGCATGGTACTGGGTGAGCTCAGTCCCCACCTTCATGAACAAGAGCATATAGCATGTCACTGGGTGAGGTCAGTCCCCACCTTCATGAACAAGAGCATGTCACTGGGTGTGAGGTCAATCCCCACCTTCATGAACAAGAGCATGTCACTGGGTGTGTGAGGTCAGTCCCCACCTTCATGAACAAGAGCATGTCACTGGGTGTGAGGTCAGTCCCCACCTTCATGAACAAGAGCATGTTATTTTTTATTATTGTAATTATTTATCACTCTCTTATTATTGACCCCCACAGAAACTTGTAGTTAGAATCTTACCGTTTCGTTCTCCCGCTAAAAAGAGCTTTCTATCGTCGAAACGGTACCAAACCGACGGTATTTTGGGTTTGGGGTACGAGTACCGTTGGATCTAGCGCGTGAACTGTAAAATGCCATGTCTACACACACAAAAAACAGTGCAGGCCTACCGCCGAAATTAGCGTGAACGGTAAAACAGTAACCGACAGGACTAGCCAGCAAGGTGGAGGAATATGTTTTTATGTCAGGCACTCACTCACTGTCACTGCCATCACCTTCCCAAATCCAAACCAGCTTGAAGTCTTGTGCATTGTGGTGCAGACCACAAAAACTGACCAGCTTACACTGACCTGTGTCTACAGGCCCCCAAACAACACTGTGGGCTTTTGGCAGCTTCTTACAGATACCGCCGATCATCTCTACAACCCACGTGCACCGATGATTGTTCTGGGTGACCTAAACTGTGACACACTGCGAACACCACCCACATCCCACCTTCACCATTTCAAAGAGTTCTGCAGCTCACTTCACCTTGAGAACATAATCTCCTCTCCCACACGATTCCCCAGCCAATCATGTCTAGACGTTGTACTGGTCGATAAACAGTTGCTAGGTCGTGCGCCAGGCAGTTCCAGAGCTTTCATCTGGAACCAAGCTGTACATCCCGTAGTAGACGTCAGTGATCATCACCTTGTAACTTTCTCCTACAGCGCCCCTGGTAGAGCTTCATCACCCGCAACTACAGGGATACGACATATCCGCCGACCACCTCTGTCTTCAATCAGCCCTGATATGCTGAAAACAGAAATCGCAAAGAATGTGGCCGAATCGACGAGCGGCACCTTCCAATCGCTGGATGAATCAGCATCAGCGTTTCGCGACAGCGTCCTGTTGGCCGTAAACACGCTGTGTCCACTACGGCCCTGTCGCAGTCAGAAATCACGGAAACCTAAGCCATCCCCGTGGTGTACACCAGCGCTAACAAATCTCTTCCACCGTCGCAAACATCTTCACCGCGCGGTTATGAGAAACCCGACTGACACCCAGCTCTTGCAACTGTACCGTGCAGCAAGAAGAGAAGGCACGCTGCTTAACAAACGCCTAAAGAATCAATATTTAGTAAGGGAGTTCTCAGACTGCCGAAATGATCCTCGCCGCCAATGGAAAATGCTCAACAAACTCCTTGGTCGGAACACCACTCCAACACCTCTCAAAGCCGACATTTCCAGCCTCACCAACTTCTTTGGATCGGTCGTCTCTGACCCAGAGCGACCTCCTTCCCTGCAAATCCCCCAAGGCCCCCGACAGCTCACCAGTTTCGCAAATTTCACCCCTGTCACTACCACTGAAGTCTGCAAGCTCCTCAAGAAGATCTCCCCTTTCAAATCCACCGGACCCGACGAACTCCCACCCCTTCCTCTGAAGATCTGTGCAGAAGAACTAGCCGGTCCCCTCTGTCTCATTTTCAACGAATCACTCTCCCTCGGTTCCTTTCCAGACATATATAAAGTAGCGTCTGTATTCCCCCTCTTCAAGAAAGGCAATCCAGAATGTCCCTCTAACTATCGCCCCATATCTCTACTCCCCATCGTATCCAAGCTTCTAGAAAAGATCGTCCTTCATCAACTGCAGCGCTATATCAACACCCACCCAGAGCTCAACATTCTTCCTCCCCAACAGTTCGCCTACCGCTCTGATCATTCCACAGAGGATGCACTTTCACTGGCTATATCAAAGTGGCAACAACGCTTGGATGACGGTCAGAACACCGGAGTGTTATTCTTGGACATGAGCAAGGCGTTCGACCGGGTCAAGCACCAGCCACTCATCAACGAGCTCTACTCCTGCGGTATTTGTGGCACAGCACTGTCTTGGTTCGCCTCCTATCTAAGCGCTCGTCGACAGACAGTGACGAACCCCTCCACAAAAACATCCGGCGACTCCGTGACCTGTAGTCGAGGGGTACCTCAAGGCTCTGTCCTGGGCCCCGTTCTTTTCACAATCTACACAAGACACGTAACAGACGTCACACCAACTCACACATCTAACATACTCTACGCCGACGATATAGGACTCTACACATCGAGCAGCTGCATCAACACGATACAGGACCGACTATCAGAGAGCTTCGATGCGGTTAAATCACACCTCACGGAACTGGGCCTCCTACTGAACCCCGACAAAACTCAACTTTTAATCGTCCGCCGGAAGACAACCCCATTTCCACCTACCTTCACTGTCATCTGTGGTAACTTCCCAGTATCCCCTTCCCAGTGTGTCCGTTACCTTGGAGTGCTAGTCGACCAGCACCTTGCCTTCAAGGAGCAGGTCGGGAAAGTTGTTGCTGACGTCAACCGTAAGCTGGCCGCATTCCGCAGAATACGACATCACATCACCACCCAGGCACAACGTTCCTTTTACCTAAGCATTATCCAATCCACCATGGAGTACGCCAGCAACTGCTACGTTCACACGATATCAGCAACCCTATACAACACACTCATTCGATGCTTCAAACGTAGCCTCAGGATAACATTCGGCTACCCACCATGCCACCCAACCGCCACCATTTGTCAACGCCACAAAATTATTCCTGTCGCCATCCGTTATAACCTAAAGATATTTTGCCTTGTCTATAAATGTGTGCATGGCCGCCGCAGCCCTCTACTTGCCGAGCTTTTTGTACTTAGATCAAATAGCAACCATACCAATGCCTTGACCAGGGGACAGTCCGCCCTGGCTTTAGCCCTGCCTAATGCTTCGTCACGGTACGGTTTCTATGCTTTGCCTTACCTGGCTGCTGACAGGTGGAATTCGCTTCCAGCAGCATGCCGCCAGGCAGCCTCCTTTGCAATGTTCAACAGTACTCTTCGCAGCCTCTTTTGCAACACATAATGGCACAGCATGCAGCCACCGTTTTCTTTTTTCTTTACTCTATTTCACGCACTTACGGCTTTCTTCATTCAGCTCTATTTCACGCACTTACCTAGGGTACCCTGTAAAAAGACTCACAGTCTGTGGGGATTGCCCTAGTAAAATAATAAATACTACTACTACTACTACTAACCATGTCTAGTGTCTACGGCTAGACTACCATGAGTCGTTTTCAAACAGCAGCAGCAGCATGCGTTTGAATTCACGGACAGATACTATGAACTTCATACCAGGGAGTTGTAAAATACGACTCCCTGCTTCATACAGTCGGGCAAGCCATTCCAGAGTCGGCAGCTGGCTAGAAGCGGTCGGCATGCGCCAGAAGCACTGTGGGCCAGGGGGCGGGGAAGGTTGCGTCCCAATTGACCTCGAGTGGTCATGCCTGTCCGTGGGCCTTGCAATACAACAGCTCACTGACGATTCCAGAATGGATTCGAAACGTCAGGATTCGCGTCAGATTCGCGTCAGCCGAAACCACCAGGCGGGAATAGAGTACTCGTATCCGATGGCTGGACAGACATACGATTTTTAGAGATTGCAGGGCAATAGGAGATGGAGCCAAATGACGGCCATAAAACGCATTACTAGTGATATCAGTCATGTAGGGTTCCAAGTAAAAAGGCAACATTGCCTGTTGGGAAATCCCTAAAAAATAAGAAAATAAGAAAAAAAATAATAATGTACTTCAAGCCTGATGATCGTAGTACAGTAATACCAAGAGTACATAACCCAAGAGTGTGCAACTCCAGCTATGGGGTCTGCGACGGCAGAACTTCACATCACGTGATGAACTCGTGCACTCTATTGCATGATAGTGGTTATGTACTCTTGGTAATACTGATACGTGAAACTCAGAGTTGTAACAAAGCTTCCAAGGCCAATCTCTCTCTTGTGTACTTCAATTATTATTATTATTTTTTACTATGTTCACATAACCAGCTCGAAAAGAATAAGGAAAGACAATGGTACGGAGACTAGGACAAACTGACAAGTAATGAGCAGGCGCTGTGCCGAGACGCAGCAGTGATGGTGGGGCATTGATGACTCTGCCGACCTGAGGTCTCGGCGTCACGGCCAAAAACACGCACCACAAACAAAGAAAAAAAGAAGGTATCCCGCGACAGCGCGTCCATGTTAGCGCGGTGCACTTCAGCGCGACCGCCTTAGCGCGAGGCAATTCAGCACAGTGCCATTTCAGCGCCGTGGCTTGACAGCGCCAATGATTTCAGCGCGAAATTTTAATGCGCAGGACATGTCAGCGCCAATTTCTTCAGCGCAGATTTTTTCCGCGGGAGGCACTTCAGCGCCGTGCATGTTAATGTACGTACGATCAATGACTATTGACAACTAACACCAGTCGCCCTATAAAAGACAGTATTTTGGGGGATAGGCCATTATTTTCTTTAATTTTCCAATGCAAACTAACTCTCAAAAATGGAATTGAACCGATTTGAGACAGGCAAGGGCAAGCCGGCATTCTGCCAAGGTGGTGGTTACACTTATCGCCTTGATAAGCGTGCTGCTGACGGCGAACGATTCTATTGGCGGTGCATTGACAATGCGTGTACTGTGAGAAAGGAGACGCTGGGCTTGGATGGTGTACCCCAACCAAGAGATGCCGCCCAGCACACCCAAGCTCCCAATGCCAATGACTGTGTTACGAGGAAAGTGGTTTCGTCAATGAAAACTTCGGCGAAGTCAACATTGCGGCCAGTGACAGAGATTTATGATCAAGTCGTGCAAGGTCGTGCCCCACATGTTCAGGCAGCTGTTCACACTGCACACCATGCGGGACCGCAAACTTCTGCCATGTGTGTACGTGTTGATGCGGTCGAAGAGACGAGGAGCCTACCGTAGAGTGTTTCGAGAGTGTCCTGGAAGTCAGACGTGCAAATGGGGAAATCACTAATTTTGAATTTCTTTCGAATGTTGATCGACTTCTTCATTTCTTATCTACGGATTCTCTTGTCATACTTCTAATGCCTACTAAATAATTCAAACTATGTAAAAACAAGTTTGTCAAAGAATCACCAAGTCACCAAATCCCGGTAGCGAGAGTGCAGACGAGACCACTAATTCCGTGCGAACGATAATGCGTACGATACCGATATAGTACGCGCGAAAGTGCTTCGCGCTGACATATATGCGCTGAATTGCCTGGCGCTGACGTTACCTCGCGCTGACAGTACATCGCGCTGAAGTGCCTTGCGCTGACATTACTTCGCGCTGAAGTGCCTCGCGCTGACACTACCTCGCGCTGAAATGCCTTGCGCTGAAGTGGTCGCGCTGAAATGCCTCGCGCTGTAGTGGACGCGCTGTCGCGGGATGGAATCAAAAAGAAGATAGAGCTGTACAGGTCAGAAAGATGCGAAAGCCCCAAGGTTTAACACGAGCGAGTGTGGGGGAGAAACTATCATAGCATGATACTATTCATAGGGAATCGACTGCCCAGAGCCAGTTTGTGCTGCGAAGATGGCGATAAACGTTCGTTTTGAATGATTGCATTCTCTTGCTGTGGAGAGGCTGGGACAGGAGAGCGGCAGGGAGGGAGTTCCAATCGCTGATGCTGCAGTGTGGGAACGAGCGCTTCAGCGCCAGCGGGGCAGATGCAGGCAGCTGGTGTTGGAGCTGGTGGTCATGGCCACTGACACTACCGTGCTCGCTGCGGTTCTGGGATTGGCAGAGGTGATAATTATTATGGCGCGGTGGCAACACAGAGAGCAGCTGCGGAGGACCAGGCAAGTAGTGCAGCTTGTACGGCCGGGCAGGCAAGCGAGGCAACAGTACGGCGGATGGCCAAGCTGGGTAGGTGTGCCCCAGGTACAAGTACATGTACAGTCGAACCTCTTTAGGACGAACACACGAACGAACACACGGAATCATACTACAAAACAACCTCCAATGGAACTCACATGTCACGCACATAATAAACAAATCCAAAAAACTCCTTCACCAACTTCGTAAAACACGAGGCCAACTCAACACCCCCAGTCTGCTCGTAATCTACACCGCCTACATTCGCCCGGTTATAGAGTACGGCAGTCTCGTGTTATCCAACACCACCCGCACACAGAAGGACCAATTAGAACGCGTTCAGCGACGAGCAGCCCGTATCTGCCTGCGGATCCCCCTTTTTGCACCAGTCCATCACAGCTCACTTCTTCATCATCTCCAACTCCCCACATTAGTCTCCCGGCAACTCTTACGACAGGTTACTCTTGCCCACAACATCAAGTACATCCGCGCTCCCCTTCACATGCAACAGCCTCACCTTGCACGACCAATCACAGAGCAGCCATATGCACTACGACACATGAGAACATACACATTGAGAACATCACACACATACCGACACACCAACTCACCCATCAACCTATCCCTTCACAATTTCAACCAACTACCCCCCGACCTGCGTGAAACAAATAGCAAGCATGCGTTTAAATCAATGGCGTCTAGCCTCATTCTATCATCCATATGCTCCTGTAGTAGCTCACACTGTACCCCATCGTGACCCCATCCCCCCTGCAATGTGTTGATTTCCTTACTTGCTAGACTGATTTTATATGATTCTGGACTGATTTGAATCATATTATCTTCCTTATTGGCCATGGGCCATCGTGGAAATAAATAATAATAATAAAAAAAAAGAACACCAAGGGACCGACGGTATTTGTTCGCAATAATGGGAGTTCTTCTTATCCATAATTATGTCTTACCCAGTGAATACACAGTGATGAATCCAATAGCGCTTGGAATTCTAGTTCTTCTTAAGCGAAAGTTTGTCTTATCAGTGTTCTTCTTAACGAGGTTTCACTTTACATTAATGTTAGCAAGAGTACATACCGGGTAAACTCACCATCCCCGGCACGCGGCCTATTTACTCTTGAATCTTGATATGTATTACCTTCCGACGGAGACGAACTATTTCCGGGGCGTGGCGCCAGCAGTACGTTGGAGCGGATTGCGGTCAGGACTCAGGGAATCATCAGCACTAGCGGTATGTTGGAGCGGATTGCGGTCCCGGGGATCATCAGCACTAGCGGTACGTTGGAGCAGATTGCGGTCCCGGGATTATCAGCACTAGCGGTGTGAGTCCGTGTGGCCGTAGACCCTCTTTTTGTTCTGAACCCTACTGAGCTGAGCTGATGTCCTACGACCATGAAAACGCAAAAGTACGACAGACGTTTTATTACTAAAATACATGTATAGGTCTGAACTTTCGATTATTAGGCTGCAACGGCGATGCTTCAGTTTCACACCCACCACAGTTGCGTCTGCAACCACCTCTGTTATGCACTATTCTGTTCTCGGGGTTCGTGGTTAGAAAAAAAACAATAAACAAACCCACAGGGCCCACTAGGCCCATGTAATAGTACAAACGGCGTTTTTCTTTACTGCGTAGCATAATTACATGTACATGTATGTCACCAAGGACACAGACCAAGACGTTCCGCACTTCGGACTGCGCACGGTTACCACGATTGCCATGTGCTAAGTAGCTCAAGTACACCCTCAATCAAGATACTACTAGTAGTTAGTGCAGGGTGGTTGCGTGAGCAGTGTCGGCGCAGTTCACTGCTGCATGTGAAGTGGTTCCCGCTTGCATCTCCGCATTTGTTAGCACAGTACACGCTCCCTGCTTGAATGAGGTTCTCGAACTCCGGACCTTGTGATTTGCTGGCAAGCCCACAACCACTCGGCCAAAGGATAAGCGCTGTTGTGACTCTTGGGCCGGGTGTATGGTTTGGAATATCTCGTTCCAGCTCAAACTACAGCATAATACCAACGCACGAGCTGGCTCGATAGGATCTAGGATGCGAGAGAAGAGCGTTGTAATTCCTAGGCAGCTTGTTACATGAGCCCGTACTCGTGGCTCCACGCCGGGCCGAGGAGGGGTTTGGCGGAGAATGTGTCTTGCCGTACAGCAGAGGTGTCGTTCTCTGGTGGCTCTGTGCATTGGTATAACGTTGCTGCTTTTCGTCAGCTCTTATCCGTTTTCGACGAGGCAATCAAGTCGAGTCCAAGACGAAAACCGAGTCAGGGAACGCCGAGTTAGGGAATATCCTGAACTGGTTGGAGAGCTAGAAGTGCCGGCAGTCGTTCGTACCCGCGACGAGATTAGGGACCTTTCGCACCCCGCGGACGGATACGAAACGAATGCTGATTCGTCACCTGGGTTCGAGGATTCGTCAGAGTCCCTGCGGAGAACTCGTTTTCACGAATGGAGGCCTCTTCATTCGTGGCACGCTCCGAATCCGTCAGGTACACATTTATTTGGATAGGTACACATGTTTTGCAAGGTACACATTTTTCCCTTGATTCCATGATCCATGCACGTGTGCGTGTAAAAACCCGTACGCCTTCTACCGGCGCCCGCGGCCGTATTCGTAGTTGCCATGCACATTTGCATGACGACTTGCGAAACCTGAAATCTGTTTTCAACGAAACGATTACGAGCCGAATCAAACTTTCGTTTCGCATTCGTTTCGTAGCAAATGCGAAAGGTCCCTAATGTCAGCCCGCAGGTGCAGAAAGTGCTGAACGTTCGCGTACTATGTTGGGTAATGACTGGAAGTAACACGATCGCCAGCAAAGGTTCGGCAATCTTGGCGACCTGGGGCAGGCGATGCGACAGACTCCTGTTCATGACTAGTGGCGAAGACAGGACAAATATTTCAGGTCGAGTATCCCTGCCGGGTGTGACCGAGGGACGTGATGCTCTGGTGGATAAGTCTCGCGAAGCCTGGAAGTACGTGTACGAGACGTACAGAGAGTCATACGACTGGTTCTATAAGTGTGATGACGACACCTACACGGTGGTGGAGAATCTCAAGTTCATGCTGTACACAATCAATACCACGCAGCCACGTTTCCTGGGCAAACATCTACAGGGTGGAGGTGTTGACTGGGTATCTGGCGGTGCTGGATACGTCCTCAACAGAGCAGCCCTGGGAAAACTGAGGGAGAAAATCGGAAAAGGCTGTATGACGAACGCTCGCATAGAACACGAGGACCAGCTGGTTTCTATCTGCCTGAAATCAGCTGGAGTCGCCATCTCAGACAGCCAGGACGTAGCAAGGAGCAGGATCTTGCCCCTCAGTCCAGAGCTGCACCCTCACACCCGGCGCTATAGCTGGTTCAGTGTACAAATGGGTGCTGAAGTACTCCGTGGGCAAGTCGAGGAAAACGAGGGACCCAGCTGCTGCTCAGAACTGGCGGTTTCGTTTCATTATATTTCACCGCAATCGCAGTATGCTATGGACTATCTCATCTATAAGCTGCACAAGTTTGGTGCATGGTCCAGCGATCTTAGGCGACTGGAAAATAGCTAGCAGTATTCACGTTCATACACCCCTCACTCCCCCCCCCACACACACACACACACAGCTGACTTTACTTGCTAGTAATTCACCAGCATTTAACAACACATTTTATAATGTGTCTGTTACAAGGTCTTGCCAGCACCGCACACCTCACCCCAGAATTATACTAGCACCATGGGTTTCTT